CAACATATTCTTTTTTTTTTTTGAGTTGGAGTCTCACTCTGTCGCCAGACTGGAGTGCAGTGGCCACTCCCGGCCACCGCAGCCTCGCCTGCTGGGCTCCAGCGATCCTTCCGCCTCAGCCTTCCAAGTAGCCGGAATTACAGGCATGCGCTACCACACCTGGCTGATTTTTTGATTTATTGTAGAGATGAGGTCTCGCTGCCCAGGTGGGTCTCGAACCCACGGGCTCAGGCAATCCACTCACCTTAGCCTCCCAAAGGCGTGGGATTACAGGCTGAGCCATCGAGCCCGGCTCATATTCACTTCTTAAATGAGTTTATGACAACCTCAAGGGGGAAAATAATCTAATTTTGCTACACATGCTGGAACAAGATTTAGGATGCTAATTTGGGCTTCTGGTTTTCATAACAACAGATTGGTAGGTAGAATTTGCAGTAAATCTTCTCAGTAAGAATTTGTTTTAAACTCTAGAAATGAGTATCCTCCATTTATTAGCCCTGCCATTAAAATAGGTTACATACAAATCCATGAACATCTGATATTTCTACATGGAGGGAGCCTCTGATTGTCTCATAGGTTGAATGTCCAACCTCTGAAAGACACTAACTAGTTGGGTAGAGCCAAGATGTAGCTCACCAATATGCTCAAGCCTTAGCTGTTTAGAAAGGAAAATGGTCTCCACCCTCACTACACCTGTTTACAAATCAAAGCAATGGTATATCTTTCCTCCCCCATGTCTATGGTTTCAAGGAAAGTGACCACCACACCATTGTGTAGGCATACTATTATAGGCTTACATAAATAGCAGAGAGGGAACAAAGCATTGGCTAACATAGGCCACCCTCATGACCTTCTGATGGCCTAAGTCCAAGAAGATGACTGTTAAAACAACAAACAGATGGTATCCAGGACAAATAACACCCTCATGTGGACTGCCCAAGGAGTCAAGGTCTAACAGGAGGGAGCCGGCACACAGCCAGCAAATACTCTGTTAGATAACACAGCTGTGATTTCAACACCAAGTGGATTTGTTCATATTTAAAACTCAGATACATCTCAGTGTTTCGCTGGAAAGTCTGTTAACTGTAAAAAGCTGCTCATTTTTCCACTCCACAAAAGCAGTGTTGGAGAAAACAAAAGTGGGAGAAGTAAAATTCCCTGTTATTACAACAGTGTAATTTTTGCTGGGAACCTGGATGCCAAATCTCCATCTACATCAAAAGGTTAAATGAAGCAACTTTTCTTTAGGCATGGAGTTGTCCTAAGAAAACTTTTGTGTTCAGAACAGGATTCTAAAAAAGAATCTGCCAGGCTGGAAGCTGGCTTCTTAACTGACCTAATCCCTTTACAGAGAAAGTGTGTATGGTAATATATGAAAAGTTCTAGACTGGGGAGGGGGTCAAGACTAAAGCCTTCTGTTTTGTCTTGACACAAACTTAATAACCTCTTCTGATCTCTTCTTGAGTAGTAAAATAGGACCCACTTTGCAGAATTAGTAAACAAATAAGACAAAGCATATAATACTGCAAGGAATTGGTTTGGCAAATGTGGTATTTTTAAGCATTACTCTCTGGTCATCCTCAAGATGTCCTAGAGGAGGAGGAATAACAAAGTATAGTAATCTTATTCATCTGCCACAGTCTTTGAATTGAGGGAAAGAGGCTGGTGGGAATTTTGAGGGCTGAAACTCAATCTGGGAATTTTGTGGACAGGAAGTCAATCTGCAAGTCAACCAAAATGTACGAAGATTGGGAATATGTGTTTCCTTGTGATTTTCTAAAACACCAACAGAACAAACCACTTACAGTTACACACACAAATACACCAACATTACACAAAACTGACCTTGCCTCGAGCATCAGAACCACCATCAAAGCCATCACTTTCTTTTTCAGACTCAGAGCAGCTGCTGTTCTAGAAATGTGACAGACAGGAATCTGTCGACATCTCCAGTTCTCTGTCCTGAGACCACTAGAAAATTTAAGTTCAACATCACAAAACAGAAAAGGAAGAGGGAGACATTTTGGAAAGACAGTTGAGTGGTAGAAAAAAGAATTTCTGGCAACCCCATTCTTAAATATATTTTTCCAGAGAAACAATTCCACAAATGAAGGTTCCGTATGGTTGAAACAAAACTAATTACCATTTTAACATATTTTAAGTTAAATTGGCTTTCTGGGCTTGAATTTAGGCACAATTTGCAAAGTTGCTTCTAAATGAAAATTTATTCTGAGTTTCAAACAACCAATTTATATTTGAACTTCAGGGGCACAACTCATTTGTAAATAAAATTGCCATAATTGTTTTCTTTGGATATTCTTAATGAGCCAAACAAACAGAAACCAAAAAAAACAAATGAATGGTTCGTTTGCAAGATCAATAATTGAAAATGCATAATTCTATAGTGATTAAACTCATTTGAAAAATAAGCATTATAGTATTGAGATTGGTGAGAATTTTGTAGGACAGAACTTTTTCTGAAATTAATGTGTTATGGTAACAGATTTGTCTAACAAATTTTATCTTGTTCTGTCACCCAGGCTAGAGTGCAGTGGCCCAGTAATAACCCACTGCAGCTTCAAATTCCTGGGTTCAAGAAATTCTCCTGCCTCAGCCTCCCAAGTAACTGGGACTATAGGTATGCACCCCCATGCCTGACTTTATCTAACAATTTGAAGCTGCAATATTTTAAAAAATTATCTTTGTGGGCTGGATGCGGTGGCTCACACCTATAATCCCAGCACTTTGGGAGGCCAAGGCAAAAAAATTGCCTGAGCCCATGAGTTCAAGACCAGCCTGAGCAACACGGCAAGACTGTCTCTACAATAAATAAATTAGTCAGGCATCATGGTGCCAGCCTGTAGTCCCAGCAACTTGGAAGACTGAAGTGGGAGGATTGCCTCAAAAAATAATTATCTGTGTAATTATCTATGTATAGAATAACAAACATTCTATTAAGTGCAAAATCTTAAGTGTACAAGAACCAACCAATTAATTAATGTAATCATTATGGTAACTCCAAGAGTTATTATTATAGCTAATTTGACTGAGGAAACTGAGCAGAGAATTAAATAATTTGCCCAGGGTCACATGGGAGCCTGGGCATTCTGACACCTGACTTTCACTTTTAGTGTCTACAGTATACTCAACTTTTAAATTTGAAGCATTTCAACTGTTATGAACTTATCCATCAACCCTAGAATAGCCGGGCTCCTCTGAAGCACTCAAGATTATAAGAATACAAATGGGAGAATGCATAACACAACTCTCTTTGGCTACCAAGTGGCAGTTACTAAATTTGGGTACTAAATGTACTCTTCAAGAAAAAATTGTATCCCCTTCCTCAATCACAGAAGAAAAATATGAAAAAAACAGTGCCAATGATCAGCACAACTTCTGACTGTGGTGCAATAAACCTATAGCTTACAATAATTGACAGTAGTTTATTTTCTGTTTAAATTTCTTTCATGACACATCAGCATAGCATGAAGGATTCTGGAAGATTTGGATTTGGAAGAACTTGAGCATTCTATGTTCTGAACCATACAAAGAGCAATTAGAATCCTTTGCAGACTCACAGTGGTTGGAAAGTAGACGTTTCCCCTCCTAGAATTAGGACCCCCCAGAAAGAAGCACCCTGACTTCTCTCCAGGTTCAAACCAGTCTGAAAATCCGATAGTCCCAACAAGAGAAATAAACTGGGATCACATGAGAAAAAGCACAAATAAGTCTCAAAAAAGGCATGTGAGGGGAGGAGTGACTCAAGAAATCAGGCTACATTTAAATATCGGTTTCTAGTCTCTTCTTTTTGAAGATGCAATCCCTTTGAATTGTTGACAATCACAGTAACACAAAGGGCCATTTCAGTTCCTACAAAATGTTTGAGGCAAAAGAGTCATCCAAAGCAAGCCCCTCATGGTACAGATAGGAATCCGATTCTCAGCACTCTGGACTTGACCCATTTTCCCATATGATTTGTCAGCCAGGATCTTATTTATGACTCCACTGGTTTAAAAGTACTTGAGAGCCAGAATATTTACTTTTCATCCCACATGCAGCTCAGCTCATGGTAGAACAAGCATTGTTAGCTTGAGGAAAAAAAATTTAATGTCTTGGCTGTCCATTTATAAGAATTTGAACAAATTCTCTACAATTATAAAAATGGAAGTATTCCACATAACAAAAGCAGCAGCTACGGCACACCTAGGAAAAATAAAGTTGCTTTCAAGGACCCAGGAACTACTGGCAAGGCCTACTGAGTGGAATCTTCCAATCACTAGAGACAGCCATTAAAGTCAATGGCCTGATCCCAATAATGTCTACTCAGGGTCATGCCCTTGAGCACATGGCAGCCTCGGGATAATTTATGGTAAGGATATTGCACCAGACCACGACCCCCAGCAACTGAAGAAATGAGAGGAAAGTTAGGATATCACTTTCAGTAGATGAATACTAAGTAGTTTAATGTTATTGAAGCATCATCCAACAACAGAGGCCACCTTGCAAAGGACAATTTTTAAATATAAATAATGGTGTCTGTCAAGGTTTCTGTATCAATCTGAACTAAAAGCCAAGAACAAATTATCTTTTACCAGTTCATGTCCTGGAAAACTTTTTGACTCTGATTCAAGGACTTAAGAGCTTGTTCAAATGCTTTTTGATTTGATATGGCTCATAATGCTTGCGTGTTTTCAAAACAATATCAATAAGTGAGATGGAAAATACCACACATATTTGTATCCTTGCTGATGTGACTTAATGGGCACACACAATGTACTAGGCACTAGGCACTAAGCTGGACATACTATAGTCCCATATGAACTTATGAGCCACAGTCCATATTGTGTTTTTCATATAACTAAAGATGTTCACTAAATATACTAGGATCATTTGTTTAAAGATCTAAATTATTTCTTCAAACATTTTTACTATTGCAAGAGGATGTTATAGTTAGCAAGAAATGGTACCAATATTCATAATACCTTTATATTTGGGAATTGTTTTTACAGAAAACAAAGGTGGTTGGTTATTTTATTAGAAAACAAAGGCCATATTTTAATACAACAGCACCAGATATGAGAATGCGTACTAAAGAACTCTAAGAAATTGGTCTTCAAAAAGAAAAACACAATGACAGAAGACACGATCTTCTACATCTTAAGAAGCCTACAACCAGACTAATTGGAAATAAACGCACACCTCCCACCACTCCCACATACACATATGTACAAGTTACATAAGCAAAGATTTATAAAACACAATGGAAGAGGAAGACAAACACACCCACATAGATATGTGTGCATGTTTTCCTTAAAAAGATGTTACATTATTTTCCTTCATTTACTCAGCTCAAAGAAATTCTTCGTCTAAAACTACTTCATGCCTAACACAACAGATAGGAAATATCATAAAGTAAAAGCTTACATTTTTCTGGGAGTTGTTAATTGGAAGTATAAAATGTGTTTTGCATTTTTTAGTGAAAATTCACATACAAACAGAAGATGTTACATAATGCTCGCTATTTTAATTGTAACATATTATCAAAGAGTTCTATACAGTACTATTTACATTAAAGCAGAGGAATATCAATGCTGAAGAGGTGATCAGTGCTTCCAGACTTTTTTAATACTTATACAAAGGAGATCTAAAGAAGACAACATATTTAGATTTATAAGAAATGGTTTTCTCCCCACTGATAAAGTGCTCCCTGACTAAAGAGGAATCCTACACTGCAGGCAGACTCTTATCTAGTCAACCACTGCCGCCTTGAGAGGTCTTGACACAGGTCTCTTCACTGGACCCTGCAGTTCTCGCTGCCCTGGGGTACAGGTCCAGCCTCCGGGCTAGGGGTAAGTCGGCCTCTCTTGGCTCTCAGGCCTTCTTTGGGGCTGTCTGCTGACCTTCTCTCAGGAAGAGTACTGACTGAGAGAGATTTTGTGGTGGGTTCTCGAAAGGCGGTGCTTGAATCCACTGGGCTCTGCCGGGTAACTTTGACCTGCAACACACGCAAGCATCTCTGTTAGAGCTTGAAATCATATTCACATTTCTATAACGTGAAAAACACAGAGCTATGTCACTGAGTGTTGTTATGTTCCTTTTCTCTAGGAGTTACATAATTTCAATATTTCTTCTTCCCTGAGAACAGGCCTCACCCAACAGAGAAGTTAGGAGGATGTCAGACACAACCTCAAACAAGTCATCAAACTTTCCTCGACACGTATGATAGGCAGGAACTTGCTTCCACGGCAAATGCGACATTTTCAGACCAAAATGTAAAGCTCTTTGAGGGCAAAAACTTTGTCCTATTTACTCATGTAGTCCTAGTGCCCACAACATGCTAGACTACATGGTGAATGTTCAAGGAATTCTTAAGTGAGAAACCAAATCTGACTCTATTTGTCTTAATTGAGCCCCTGCTATCACTTGACAAGAATATAATCCAAATGTGAAATACCACCTTCATAGGATGGAAGCACAACATTTAAAAGACCTAGAACCTGGTCCTGTATTTTCATCATTCTCCCTTTATAGTTGTTTCTAATTGAATCTGGATTATAACAGAAGAGCACCTTTCTAGCAATAAAGTCCAGAAAGAGTGGTTCCCCTCTCAGACATCCTGCTTTTACGAGAGAGAAGTATATTAGGAAATGTGAGACCTGAAGAAACAGATGAGAGGTATAGTAGCTAGTGAGTCAAGATTTTTTGAGATTTAAGTCAGATGCGGTGGCTCATGCCTATAATCTGGCACTTTGGGAGGCCAAAGTAGGAGAATCACTTGAACCCCGGAGTTTAAGACTACAGTGAGCCATCACCATGCCACTGGAGGAGGAGGAGGAGGAGGAGGAGGAGGAGGAGAAGGAGGAGGAGAAGAAGAAGAGGAGGAGGAGGAGGAGGAAGAGGAAGAAGAAGAAGAAGAAGAAAAAGAAGGAAGAGGAGGAGGATGAGGGGGAGGAGGAGAGAGAGGGATAGAGGGAGGGAGGGAAGAAGGAAAGATTTTTTGAGATTTATGTAGTAGTGAAAAAAAGATACAGGGTCAAAAAAGAGAAAGAAGTGCAAGAAAAACAAAGTACAGAAAAGCTTTATTTAATCATAAAGGCAGGAGTAGAAGATTCAAGTAAAAAGATATTTTTAAAAAAAGAGGAAAGCACTTAGGCAACATAGTGAGACCATGTCTCTATTAAAAATTAATCAATCAATCAAAAAAATTTAGCCAGGCATGGAAGGATGAGGCAGGAGGATCACTCAAGCCCAGAAGTCTGAGGTTGCAGGAAGCCATCATCACGCTATTGTACTCCAGTCTGGGTGACAGTATGACCCTGATTCAAAAGAGAAAAAGAGGAAGGACTTTTGACAAGGGTCAACCTGTGTCCAGTACAGATGTTGAAAAGTAACTATATGACCGACACTCCCTGAGCAACTGACATCTGATACAAGAAGAGAATGAAAATTATTTTCCCATTGATACTCTTTCCATAGGAAGTGTGTGGTGTTAAAAGGTAGTTAAAAACTTTTCATTACAGAAAACAGTAGATCTGGCCAACAGATCAAATCCCTGGAAAGCTTGCTTCCACCTCACATGATGGGCAGGACACTGACAAGCAGCAGTTGTTGAAGGATCAGGACTTAATGGAAAATTACCATCCATGGAAAGTTGAAAGAAAAAACAAGAGTTTTACTGCTAGTAATTTTTTTTAAAGAAAAATAGTGATACCAAAGACAAATGTTTCCCTTGAACCCATCAGATGCAGGAAAGTCAGATGTTTAGATCTACCATTAAAAAAGGGGGGGAGAGAGAGAGAAAGCCATCCCATAGGCAATAGATAATATGAGCCTGTAAAACTCTTTGTCCCAAACAAATGGCTAACGTCCACTCCTGCTGCCTTCTTCCCTCTAGAATCAATTTCTCTGATGCTGAATTGAGGATACTGTAATTTGTAATCAGAACGTAAACTGTGGATTTGTTGGCTAGTTAGCTTCGGAGCAGTCTAAAACCAGACAAGGTCAAATTTACCAAGTATTTAATCTAGTAAGATACTGCATCCAAACCCTGTCTTACAAACGACTCTAAAGCCACAATGGGGAGAGAGCAAATAGCACAGTGAAAATGAACCCCACTAGGTAGAAAAAAAAGCAAAGCCCCCTACTAACTGCTTCCTGGTACTGCGGTGACCACACCACCACCATCCATGATAACTTTACAGTTTACTTGACCTCTTCTGATATGAACCACCAAGCCCAGGTTCAGGAGAACAAGTGTACAATCACTGACTCCCTTGTTTTCAGCAAACTAGGAATTCCTGGGTTTATTCATCCCAGTGACATAACAGACAATGATCCTTACCTAATGTGTATTTTACCCTTTTTTTCTCCCTTTGAATTTATCAGATGTCACTAAAGGTCTTGCTAAATAACCTAAGGAACCGTCTTTCTCAAAACTCAGTCATCTCAGGGGAGCACTCATAATCCTGAGTTTCTAAGCAATTGTTTTGAAAAAATAATACCTTGTTGTATATTTTTTAAAAGTTAGTGATGTAATATACTTAACAGATAAGGCAAGTGATTTACAGAGCAACTCAGAAAATGCTGAAAGAAATTAAAGATTACTAGGCTAGGTTTTGAAGAGTTTGAATCTAATCATGAAGACTCCTATAACTCCCATCAAGAGGACCCCCCCATTCATTTGCAAGTGCACAAAATCACTTAGCAATTCGTAGCTGATGGTGCCTACTGAACTGCATGCAGTTAAGGCACTGAATACAGGTCTGTAGGAAACCATGGTTACCGCTCTGTACTCAGCAGATTTCAGCAGTAGTGTGGAGAGCAGGCCCCCTAGCGTACAAAGTTCTTTTTCCTAGATAAAAAATCCGATCACCACAGGTCAACTGCTTTTACCATCAACTCCGCATAAAAGTAGAAAAATGACCAGTGTGGTAATTTCATAAAATGATTTCCTAACATGCTTTTACAAACATCTATTATTGCAATCACTTCAGGACAACATACACAGTTCCACTCATTCAGCAAAAGCTTTTTTAATTTCAGACACTGCATTAGACATGAGGACACAGGTAAATCTCTCAAAACTCAGACTGCAAATCAGAAGACAGATACGTAAGCAAAGTAATTACAATAAAGTGAGCTGCCTAAAGATAGGGGAGCCACAGAGTACTCGCTATGTGTCATGGCTTTCTGTCCAGCCAACCAAATATCTTCATTTGATCTCCATCAGTGAGACAAACAGGAATGAATGCTATGTTTCACTGAGAGTAAAGGGTGGCTCCCAGTCACCCCTCTAAGGAAATAGCACAGCCTACACCAGGACCACAACCCTGACCCCTTCTGTCTTCAGTGGTTGTCTTGTGGTTAACAGCTACGGTCAAGCTTGGTAACTTCATTCTTTCTTTAGGGGCACTAGTTATTCTAAGTTCATTGGAAAGCCAGTATATCCAGTACATTGAATATATACTTTCCAGTATATTCTTCAGTGTTTTGTTGTTGGCAGCATCCAAAAGTTTAATCCAAATGTAAGTTTGTGAGAGAGAAAGAGAATTTAGTGAAAAAAAGGAAGAAAATTTGCACAAAATGGTAGAATATTTCAAATACCAGTAATCAATGGGTCCATTTTAATGAGTGAAAATCTCAGACCTTTCTTCTTCAACCTTGTTTTAACAAAACTTTTATTATAATGTAAATAATGAACAAACTTATTACCAGGTATAATTCCTTAATGCTTATATCTCTTATACACCTACAAAAACAAACTTGACAATTTGTAGTTGCTTGGATGTATCTAATCACAAATGTTTTTGTATTTTGCTATCCAAAATCCTAAAGAGGAACGTGATTGCTCACTGAAGAATTATTTATTACATTACACAAGTAGGGGCCACTACACTCTCAAGCTTTTGACTGCTGGTTCAAGGTTATCAGATTGCATACTTCACCAAACTCTGACAAGTGAGCAATCAAAGTAAAATCACAAAACATTAGCACTATTTGAAGTTATTCCAGCAACTTCCAACATTTCCATGGTCCCCAGTTTGAGAAACACCTGTTATGATGGAAAGAGCAAGACAGTGGAGTTGAGAGAGAGGAGTTGCTAACACTGGAAGGTTAAATCTTTATGAGCCTCACGTTCTTTATTCTTTCATAATACTGCGTAGCCGTTCAAAAAAATGAAAAAATGTGAAAGTAAAATAAAATACATACACACTTTGCATATATAAATGGTAGCTGCTGGTATAAATTCTAGTAATAGGAATAAAGGTCTGTTAAGCAAATATTCTCTATGCTTTAAATAACATTTTTTTCTGGCTGCTTGTAAGGTATGTAGAGGTCACTAAGATCCTGCCCTATCCTCAACATTCAAAGTAGAGAACTCTGATCCTGCCCTATCCTCACCATTCAAAGTAGAGAACTCTATCTACAGAGTTCCTTTCTTTAGGCATCTATTGAAACATGCACTTTTCTGTTGTTGTTTTAGAGAGTAAAAGTTTCATAAAATCCACAGAGAATTACCAGCTGGGAGCAGATGGGCAAGAGTGAAACATCTGAAACAATCAATGACTGATTCTGTGACCAAAAGAAAAGCTACCTCTTCAAATTCTTCAACAGTAATGCCTAAAATTTTCTTACAGCTCCATTGAGTTTTGATACAACAATGCCATTTCCCACCAGACTGCATATAAGAGGCCTGTAGTGTCAAGGATGAGACTGTGCAGCTTGACACTATAATGCTTATCTTCAGGCTTACTCACTACTGATTTATTTATACCATCTCAAGAAGAAGGTCGGACTTGAAAGGGCTCCTGAGTCAGAAGGTGCAGCGTCCAACCCTTACCCAGATAACACTGCAACTTCCTGGATTTCGAAAGCAGTCGATGGATGATGACAGGAGTTTACCTTTTGTGATCTGCTGCCACCAGCTGTTGGTTTGGAGGACTCTGCAAGATTTTCTTTGCTGAGACTCAGTGGGGATAGTACTAACTTCTGTGCAGCCAGGCGGGGGCTGGTCCTCGTGGCCATGGTTGTTCTCCGCAGGACGTATGGGCTGGTCTTTCCTGTTGGGATGTCGGCAAACCCTAAGGGCAAAAAAGATGACTTTCAACACTGCTAGGTTAATTCTCTCTGTAGTGGAAATGATGTTCACTAGGTAAAGTTTTAACAAAGATAAAGGTAACTCCAAAAAATACTTTCTCCCAGCCACAGAAGACAGTGTGTTAAATTTTACAGTTGCCCTGGTAGTCACCAAATTGAATCAATAGCAGGTTTTCTCCTATTAGAAACAAAAAACTGCTGGACACAGTAGCTCATGCCTGTAATCTCAGCACTTTGGGAGGCCAACGCAGAAGGATCGCTTGAGCCCAGGAATTCAAGACCAGCCTAGGCAACATAGCAAGACCTCATCTCTACAAAAAATAAAAAAATTAACTAGGCATGTTGGCATGTGCCTGTAGTCCCAGCCACTCAGGAGGCTGAGGTAGAAGGATCTACATGAACCTAGAAGGTCGAGGCCACAGTGAGCACTATTGTGCCACTGTACTCTAGCCAGGGCAACAGAGTGAGACCCCAACTCAAAAAGAAGACGAAAAAGAAACATAAAAAACTGCAATGAGAGAAGGGAGAAGTAGATGGAAAATAACACTACACAGAAAAAAAAAACTGCTGTTACTTCTTCCTCTATATGGATGACTTACTTTGCATTTTCCCAAAATCTAAAGAATACCAGCAGGTCTTATTATAAAATTTGGATTGGAGGAAAGAAAAGAGTAAGATGGAAAAGAAAAATCAGAAAGAAAGGCCAGTTCCTGTTTAAAAGGGGAAAATGTAAAATGGTAAGTTACTTCAGGCAATCACTCTCATGCTGGTGGGAGGAGAGGCCAACCTTCCTAAGGGTGATTTCACACTTGCTCACATCATCTCCTTCCATAGAAAGAACTATCATGATTCTTAGTGACTAAGAAGAGAAAGTTAGTCCCAAGGATATTAAGTAAAAGCATACTACATTCCAGGAGGGCATGCAGAGCTAACTAAAGCAGCCTTTGTTTTTGTTTTTAACCCTTTAACTACAAATAAAAATCACCAGTGAGAGACAGCTAATTATTTTGAAGCTAGAGTTACTCAGAGCAGTGCTTCTCAAACCAACTATGGCAAAGAATCTATTCTGACTTGTTTGCAGGGAGTGGGGTGGAGGAATTTCCAATCTACTGTGGAATACGTTTTTGTATAATATCATAAGAACAAATCAATAGGAAAAGATTATGTGCTTAGATGTTGCAGCAATGCCAAATTGCTACGAGACTTTCTAAACTCTTACTCTTAATTTCTGTACTTTTTTTTTTCTGTCATGGACCAATAAACAATTCCTAGCCTGACACCAGTCCTGGACCAGAGGTAGGAAGCACTGAGTTTAAAAAAAAACCCAAAAAACAGGCCAGGCACAGTAGCTCACATCTGTAATACCAGCAGCACTTTGGGAGGCCAAGGTAGTAGGATCGCTTGAGCCCAGGAGTTTGAGACAAGCATGGGCAACATAGTGAGACCTCATCTTTAACAACAACAACAAAAAAAATCAAAACATTAGCCAGGCATGATGGCACATGCCTGTAGTCCTAGCTACTTGGGAGGCTGAGACAGGAAGATAACATGAGGCCAGGAGGTCGAGGCTGCAGTGATCCATGATTGTGCCACTTCATTTCAATCTGGGCAACAGAGTGAGACCTTGTCTAAAAACAAAAAAGGGAAAAAAAAGTGTGATCAGTGGCTCCACTCAGAGGACAGCATCACCAGGCCAATCTCCTCCCTCCTCCAGTACCTGCTAGCTGGGCCAGTCGTGGCTGATGGTGGGAGACCCTTGAAAAGTATCCTTGATTTGGAGATTTTTTAGCATAGGAATAGCAACTTTTAAAAAGATTTTAGCCGGGCTCGGTGGCTCAGCCTGTAATCCTGTGCCTTTGGGAGGCTGAGGTGAGTGGATTGCCTGAGCCCCTGGGTTCGAGACCCGCCTGGGCAGCGAGACATCATCTCTACAATAAATCAAAAAATCAGCCAGGCGTGGTAGCACATGCCTATAATTCCGGCCACTTGGAAGGCTGAGGCGGAAGGATCACTGGAGCCCAGCGGGTCGAGGCTGTGGTGGCCAGCAGCGGCCACTGCACTCCAGTCTGGGCAACAGAGTGAGATCCAACTCAAAAAAAAAAAAAAAAAAAGATTTTAGATGGTCATTTTTCCAACTGACCAGCTCTTTTGCAAAGGTGACATGGGTAGGCCAGGCATGGTGATTCATGCCTGTAATCCCAGCATTTTGGGAGGTAGAGGCAGGAGGATAACTTGAGCCCAGGAGTTCAAGACCAGTGTGGACAACATAGCAAGACCTCATCTCTACACAAAATTTAAAAATTAGCCAGGTGTGGTGGTGTGCATCTGCAGTCCCATCTACCTCGGAGGCTGATGCAGGAGGATCACTTGAGCCCAGGAATTGGAAACTGTAGTGAGCTGTGATCGTGCCACTGCATTCCAGCCTGGACAACAGAGTGAGACCCTGACTCTGAGTAATTAGGTCCTAGTTATTCTCACATGACAGAAAGGAAAGCAAATCCCTCACCCATTTAAAATCAGACTATTATTTGTGAGGGTCAGTTAGCATTACTGTACAATAATGGAAGAAGCAAATGCTTCTGTCTTTTTATGTGCATATTTTTATGTGGAATTTCAAAAGAACACAAATCATTTTGTTTTCAAATTAGGCATACCTTTCTTTACAACTTCCGGAAGTCCCTCTGGCTCAAACTCAGCATCTTCTGCATCCCCTGCCCGGTGACCGCCACTTTTGACTGCTTTCCTACTTTTTTTAGAAAATGTTTCTGGGGTAGAAGGTGTTGGTCCTCCACTATTCTCCCACACCCCACTGGACCTTTGCCTCTTGCCTGAAGCTTTATTGTGGCCAGATGACAACTTCTTTTCAGGAACAGAAGGGATTGGAGATGGTCCTAGAACAAGTGAATTCAGCATAGGAGAACTTCGGAAATTGTGTTTAGACTGTTGTGAACAGAGATGATCAACTTGCGTTTCTAACATCTCTTTAGCTTTCTCTAACTTTTCATGGCTTATAAGCAGAGCACAGTACTTATCCAAGTATTCGTCTGCCTCCTTGGTTTTTTCTTCAAGAGTTTCTTTCAGTTCTTTCATCTCAGTTATTAACTCATCTACCGTAGCATCCACAACAGTACCTGTCCAAAACAAAGCGACACATCATGTGCACCTTAATGCTTCTCTCGGGGAAAAGACTTACTGACATCCACAGAATGGATCACAAGTCTGTAGGGAAACCATAATTACTGGGTATCATGAAGCAGATAATCTTAGATCCATTCTTTGATTATTTAGGAGGGAAGGGGGAGATAAATCTCTCTCTCTCTCTCTCTATATATATATATGTTCTTATAGTTCAAACAACTCTTGTTTGAGAGGTATCATATCAAGATACATATTCCAGTAGATACATGTCTTTTATTGGGTAACTTAAATAAAATCCACCAAAATCTCAAACTCATACTTCAGCCAACCCATTAAACTTTCTTGTAGTTGTAGTTATATGAGATCAAGTTAATTAATTTTTTTTTTTTTTGAGTTGGAGTCTCACTCTGTCGCCCAGGCTGGGGTGCCGTGGCATGCTCACGGCCACCCCAGTGTTGACTCACTAGGCTCAGGCAATCCTTCCACCTCAGCCTTCCAAGTAGCCAGAACTACAGGTGTGTGCTACCATACCCAGCTAATTTTTTGATTTATTGTAGAGATGAGGTCTCACCAAGTTGCCCAGGCTGTTCTCGAACCCGTGGGCTCAGGCAATCCCCTCACCTCAGCCTCCCAAAGTGCTAGGATTGCAGGCTGTGCAGATCATGCCTGGCCATGAATTAATTTTTATATCCCCTATTTTGCCCGGTCCATTTTTTCTACCATAAGAGTAAAAGAACCATAAAAGTCAGTAAAGATTATGAATATGAAGTCTTGGTTGTACAACTTTGGGAGACAGGAAGGGGTCATGATAAGGCAAGTCCAAAAAACTCTGAATCCATTGGAGATAGTGGAGGGGCTGATAGACAAAAGTTTGAGGGAACACTATAAAGGTGGGCATCTTAGTCAACTTGTAGCTACCATGGATGGTATTAAATCCATTACAAAAATGTCTTCCTGAAACCTCAGTCTACTCTGAGCACTGTTCCCCACAAGACCGCTGACTAACCCACTCTACCAAACTGTGGTGCAGAAGAGCCACTCATACTACACTTACCAGCAGTCATCCAAACAGTAAGCAAATACCACTGCAGGGGCATACATGGAAAAAAGCAACAAGGAGAGTCATCACTCCTTTTCTTTGATATTTTTCCTGCACAAATAAAAATACGCCCTGCCAACCCTACACATTCCGTTTAGATGACCCATGATAATGGACTGAGGCCAACCAGAATCTGTTATTTCTAAGTTGCCGGTGCCAACTCAGATGCCAATCTGATGTTGACAAACTACTCAACTGGACATCAGCACCACAAACTCTTCTTTGAATGGCTTATTAGCATAAAGGGCCAGATTTTTTGTTTTTGTTTTTTGCATGTTTTATGGTACAGAAGATGGGATAATTCTATTTCAAAATGCAAGCTTCAACAAAAATTTTTTAAAAGCAAAATAAATAAAATGCAAGTTTCATTCTGAATCCTAAAATGATCCCAAGCACAAAATTCAGAAATTGAAAAACGGGTAACTGATGAAAAATCAGCTCTTAGTAATAGAAGAGAGCACCAAAAACACCTGCTATGCATGCACAATGTGTGTTATTTCACTATTGGAAGAGAGTTTTGGGTAAATTATATGGCTCAGCGAACACCTACCTGTTTTCTGCTTCTCCTGTGTAGCTTCAAGTCGAGATAGTTCTTTCTGTAAAATTTCCTTTTCCTCTTCCATCTGCTTACAGGACTTGATCAACAACTTTATTTTCCCCTGGGAACGTTCATTTTCCTTCTTTAGCTGATTTATATATTTTAGATTGTCTGTCTATAAGCAAAAGCAATTCTATTTAATTTCTTTTTATAAGCATATAAAAAACAATGAGATATAATTATGACTCATATATTGTAATTTAAGGAATTATTGGGCTCACAACAAAACATCTAAAGATGCACAAAATAACTCACCTTCTCTACTCAGTTTCCTAAGTCTCCCCATTGACAGTGTGGTTTTGTCATTCCCTTAGTTTCTTTTTTTTTATTATTATAAAGATGTAGGGTACAATTCAGGGTTAGGTTTACAAATGTTGATTATGCAGGTACCCTTGTTGATGAGGTATGCCCCTCCCTCCCCTAGCAGTTTCCCTCAACTGCCAATCCCACATCCCTCCCCTGACAGTTTCCCACTACTGCCAATCCCTTTCTTATAGTATTATAATTATTGTTCAAGGTCCGCTTATGAGTGAGAACGTATGGTACTCTGTTCTGTTTCCGTGAGTTTCAAAAGTGTAAATCAGCCGGGTGCAGTGGCTCACACCTGTAATTCCAATACTCTGGAAGGCCAAGGAGAGAGGGACGCTTGAGGTGAGGAGTTCAAGGGCAGCCTGAGCAACACAGTGAGACCTCATCTCTACAAAAATCAAGTTAGCTGGGTATGGTGGCATGCGCCTATAGTCCCAGCTATTCAGGAGGCTGAGACAGAAGGATCACCTGAGCCCAGGAGGTGGAGGCTACAGTGATCATGCCACTGCCCTCCAGTCTGGGTAACAAAGTGAGACCCTAACTAAAAAAAAAAAAAAAAAAAAAAATTTAAATCACAGTTCCTAAGATCATGTCCTGTGCCAGCTACGTTTGTGCTTATCCAATGAGAATCACACAGGATTACTGGGTAGACAGTTTATGTACATATTCCTGATGGGTCCAGAATTCTCAGTGAGAGAATTGTGTTCCAATGTGTAATCACGCTGTCGCAAAATTTCAGTACCTAAGATGGCATTTGTTTTAGTCATACCAAGTGAGGCCAAATGATATTATAGCTCACTATAAAAATTTAGATGTTATAGTGGCTCAAGTAGAAAGTGAAAAGAATGGGAGAATTGTGTCACCATACAACTTAGTGGTACAAATGCATAGTTCCTTATTCATATAACCAAAATTTTTTTAAAAGCTGTGAAAATGACTTAGAGGCAAAACTTGACCTGAACAGATATGAAGGTATTTATAGTTTGCATTCATCCCACCTTGTGAGAATATTCAGGAAAAATAGGAATTTGATTACAATTTGATTACATAACCCCAGACTCCACTTGGATATTATGTAATATATGGCATATGAATTGTATTAAGTAATATCTTTAAAAATGCAGAATTCTAAAACAATATGTAAGAGGATCATGAACATATAAAGGAAGACCAAACAGCAGGAGGAGGAGGGAGAGCAGGGGGAGGAGGGGGGAAGAAGAGGAGGAGGAAGGGGAAGGAGGGGTGCAGCTGTGATGAAGAAGAACCTGAGTACCATATTCATGTTGCAAGTAGATGTGATATCTTGGATCTCCTCTTTGTATGTTTCATCTCGAAATAATTTATTAGCAATGTTGTAGTAAATATGCCCTTTTAGAACTTTCTATTTCTGATTCCAATCATAAAGGGATTCAAGACCCATTTAATTCAGTTTCAACAGTGCTACTTCTTTCTATTATTAAAGCCAACATTTCTCATTTTGCAGCAACACAACATTATTAATCATTTAATGTGATTTTGAATTTTGTCAGTTTGTATTTAAATGGTAAAGTTCCTTTACCTTAATAGTTGTGTAAGAGCTATAAATATAATAAGCATATACCTAGTTTTCGGTTTGTTTATATTCAATTAACATAATTTTAAATCACCCTCTAAGCAAAACCTTCACTGGAAAAGTTATCCAGGTTAATCACTACATTACCACCTGTATAAATAATTCTTAGCCATAAAGCAATGAGAAGTCAACATACCTTGGTTTTCTTCAATTCTTCTAAAACTTGAGTGGCAGCTTTCAAAGAATTATTGAGTTCTTCTTTACTAGACTTTAAGAGGTCCATCTCCAACTTCTGTGAGTTGAGATATTCTTCTTTAGAAGTCAATTTCTCTCGATATGCCTGGATTTCTATCTCATACTAGGGCAAAAAAAAGAAAAAAGTTATTTTAGCCAGGAGTTCAGCTAAAAAAAAACTGTAAGGAAAACAAAAAATACTGCTGTTCCTAGGATCATTTCAGAGTGCTTGCAGCTCTATTATCCTTCTCCAAAATGGAGCTATGTTTTTAAAAAACCAAGTGATAAAATAACTGGTAACTAGGGCAAAGATGTGAGACCCTTTATAAGATCATATAGCATAAAAATAACAGAATATTAACTTTCTTGCAAAAACATGGTCAACATACACTCTCCAGCTCCCCCGGTAACCAATACCATATTTTACCTGTTTGTTTGTGTCCAAAAGCAAAGCCTGGTGTCTCTTTTCAGCTTCCTGAAGCTGTAGCTGATACTCAGCTATGTCTTCTCTCACTTTCCTGTCCTTTTCCACCTGGTCTTTGTGCATGCAATCCAAACTCTTCTTCAATTCACTATTTTCTAGTGTGAGCTCCTTCAGTTGACCCTAAAGAGAAAAGTCGTAAAATCCAGAGGGGCACAGTGGCTCACACCTGTAACCCCAGTGCTGTATGAGGCTGATCACTCCTGCTGTTTGGTCTTCCTTTATATGTTCATGATCCTCTTACATATTGTTTTAGAATTCTGCATTTTTAAAGATATTACTTAATACAATTCATATGCCATATATTACATAATATCCAAGTGGAGTCTGGGGTTATGTAATCACAGAAAGATCACTTGAGCCCAGGAGTTCGAGGATGCAGTGAGCTATGACTGTGCCACTGTGCTCTAGCCTGGGTGGTAGAGACAGATTCTGTCTCTAAAATAAATGAATAAAATCATAACTAAGAACCTGCATATATATAAATGAGTACTGCAAAAAAGAATTCATTTACAGGCAAAACAAAATCTATCCAGAACAGTACTAGAATCCCTCCAATGACACTTTTATCTCTCAAGGTCACATCCATAGAGACCACAGAATATCTGAAACCTTGATTTCCACTAATTCACTCTGGGATCCTACCTTCATATGCTTCCAACCTTGTTTATTTACAAATTTCCATTGCAATAATTCCCAACCTCATCAAGAGAACTGCCACCACATTTACACTCCATCGCCACCGGACTTACATCTTCTCCCTTGACCAGTCAGACCTTGTGTTCTATCACTATCAAAATTTCCTTCCAAATGCCCTGCACTCTTTTGCCCCACTCTCTCCCTTCACTGTGAAGGACTAGCAAAACCCCAGTGCTGGGGGCATCTCTATTCTCCATGCTTAACCCCAAACAGTTGTTTCTATATGTGCAGTGTCCACTTCCTCATTTCCTAGTCACTCTTCAACCTAGCCCAACCGGTTCTGTCCCCAGCTCCTCCTGAAATAGCTTTTCATGGCATTATCGATCTTCATGCTGCAAATTCAAGTCACACTCTTCTGAGTTTATCTCACTCAACCTCTAAGTAGCATTTGGCGCTGCTGACCACTCCTTCCTTCATGAGACATTCCTTCCTCTTTTTAAAAATTTTTTTTATTTCAATAGCTTTAGGGGATACAAATAGGTTTTGGTTACATGGATGCATTGTATGGTGGCAAAGAAGTCTGAGCTTTAAATGCACCCACCACCACCACACCAGTGGTGTACCCGATAAGTGATTTTTCATCCTGCTATTCCTTCCCACCCTCCACCTTCTGAGTTTTCAGTGTCCATTATACCATTCTCTGTGGCTTTGCAGATCCTTGGTTTAGCTCTCAATATCAGTGAGAAGATGTGGTATTTGGTTCCCTGTTCCTGCACTAGTTCACTTATAATGATGGTCTCCAATTCCATCCAAGTTACTGCAAGACATTATGGGTTTTTTTTGACGGCTTAATAGTATTCCATGGTATTTGTGTGTGTGTGTGTGTGTGTGTGTGTGTGTGTGTGTGTGTGTGTGTGTGTGTGTGTGTGTATGTGTGTATACATTTATAGATAAGACAAAATCTGTGTGTGTGTGTGTGTGTGTGTGTGTGTGTGTGTGTGTGTGTGTGTGTGTGTATTTCACATGTTCATTTACCTACCAATCAGTTGATGGGCATTTAGGTTGATGCCACATTTTTGCAATTGTAGACTGTGCTGCAATAAACATTTGAATGTAGGTGTCTTTTTTGTATAACGACCTCTGTTCCTTTGGGTAGATACTTAGTAGTGAGACTGCCAGATCCAATGGTAGATTTTCTTTTAGTTCTTTGAGAAATCCCCATACCAATTTCCACACAGGGTTGTACTAATTTATACACCAAGAGTATATAAACGCTCCCTATCTAACACATCTACACCAGCATCTATCTTTTTTTCTTAAATAATGGCCATTCTGACTGGTATAAGGTGGTATCTCATTGTAGTTTTAATTTACATTTCCTTGATGATAAGAGATGTTGAGTATTTTCATGTTTGCTGGACATTTGTAAATCTTCTTTTGAGAGATATCTGTTTACCTCATTTGCCCACTTTTTGATGAGGTCATTTGCTTTCTTCTTGCTGATATTAATTCTTTGTAGATTCTGGATATTAGTCCTTTGTCCAATGTATAGTTTGCAAATCTCTTCTCCCATTCTGTATGTTGCCTGTTTACTATGTTCATTACTTCTCTTGCTGTGCAGAAGCTTTTTAGGTTAAGTAAGTCCTGTTTATATATTTTTGTTTTTGTTGCATTCACTTTTGGGGCTTTAGCCATAAATTATTTGCCTAGGTCAATTTCCACAAGAGTTTTTCCTAGGTTTTTCCCTAGAATTTTAATGGTTTCAGGTCTGACATTTAAATCTTTAATATACCTTAAGTTAATTTTTGTATATGAGGAGAGATAGAGATCAAGTTTCATTTTTTCTGCATGTAGCTATCCAATTTTACCATCACCATTTATCGAATCAAGTGTCCTTCCCTGGTGTATATTTTTGTCTGTTTTTTCAAGGATCAGTCAGTTATAAGTACTTGAGTTTATTTCTGGATTCTCTATTTTGTTCCATGTGTCCATGTGTCTGCTCTTGTACCAGTAGCACGCTATTCTGGTTACTACAGCCTTGTAGTAAAATTTGAAGTCAGGTATGGTCATTTTAACAATATTGATTCTTCCAATCCATGAGCACAGGATGTTTTTCCATTTATCTGACATTCTTTCCTCTTGACTTCTAGAACACAGCCCTCTCCTGGTTTGCCTCTTCAAGATTTCTGTTTTCTTTTCTGGCCCTTCTTCCATCTCACTTTGTATGCTGGAATTCTTCTGGGCTAGGCCCTGGGAATCTTCTCTTCTCCATCTGTGTTTTCTGCTATTCTCATAAATGCTAAATACTCTCTATATGCTTAACTATCCAAATTAATATTCCTGCCCTAAACCTCCCCTACTCCGTCCATAGCCTTCCTATGCCGCCAATCTTTTTTTCACGTCATTTTCTCTCTAGCTCCAGTCACAGTGGCGTCCTTTCCACTTCCAAAATATAACAATCTTTCTAATCTCGGAGCTTTCAACACACTGCTCTCTAGACTTAGAAGGCTATTTCCTCTGCCCATTCTTTGCCTAGCTGACTTCTCATCCTGCGAGTGATATCCTCTGGCTACTGCACCTAAACTAGGTTGTTTCTTTCCGCTACACCTCCATGTCCCAATTACTCTGAGGCAAAGAATCTTATATGTTTCTTTTATAGTACTTATCAGTTCATGACTATGTTTTATGTTTCCTATTTCATGATTTATTATGTGTCTAGATTGTAAGCTGTATGAGTACAGGAACCACAGGATAGGTATAGTTCAACAGTCTATCCCAGCTTTACTAGCACTTGTTATTTATAAAATAGATAAATGAAGGAATAAAGCCATTGCAAACAAACACACTCATATATGTATGGACCTGAGGTCAAACATCCAGCTTTTCCTGGTAGCAGTGCCAATACATGAAATACAATAGCAATATACTTGAGATACCCTCAAGCTGCTAGGTAGAGAGAATTCAGTAGATGCACTACACAATTATCATTCACAGGAACTCCTGCCAGGCAGCATACCAGAAAGTTCCCTAAGTCAAGTGCTGAGATTAAGTGCTAAATTTTTTTTAATTTTCATAGATTAAATACTGTATCTAGAAAAAGGCACAAATTTCCCCCAACACCTTACATAGAATATTACTTTTTGTGATTTTGCAGGGTCGCAACCATGACTGTCTTATTTTGCTGTTCTTTTCTAAGTACTACTCAGGGGTGAAGTTGTATGAGGACTATATAGATAAAGGAATGTTTCTAGTGTAATCAGGTTTAGCAAACGGGTTTCATCTCACCCACCAGTTCTGCCTGCATGGTAGCAGTACCAGGACACGGTGTTAGGAGATTCAGGAGAAAGGTAGGAATTAGCAATATCTGCCAGGGGAACATTATAGATGTGCCACATTAACCCTGCCCTAAAATGGTACCCCAAGACTATGCTAACTTCACATTTTACTCTGACTTCCATTCCGTTACTATGTTAGTTCTTAGCAGACCAAAGCTTGTGTCTCTAGCAACATTCCAGCTTGTAATATGTAACAGACAAGGAAGACAGACAAACCTGTTGAAAGCTGCATGAAATCTATTTCTAGTGTGAGTTAATGTGGTACACGGGTACTTTTCTGCAAAAGCACATCTGGGCTCCGAGACAGGTATTTTCCTGTGCTCAGAGGCCTCTCATGACTCCTTCTGGGCTCATGACAGTTCTGCATGGTGGAGATTACTGCAAATCTCATCATAACATAAGCACAGGCTTATTTTTTCAAAAGCTAAAAATGTTTGGTATGTTACAGAGGTACCAACAAACAGAGTTTGCAAATCGTAATAAATCTATAACAGAGAAACTTACTTTGCTGTTCTTTATTTCTTCCAACAGTATTTTTAACTCTTCATTTAGCCTATTTTTCTCTCCACTAAATTCTTCCTTCAGCTCTGTCGTTTTCTGTGCCATCTCATGCATTTCCATCTGCAGCTCAGTTTCCTTTTCCATCATTGTGTTTACCTAAAATTTAATCTTTCGTTAGGATCTGCATTTGGTTGTCTGTTTTGATAGAACTCATCACTCTGATACAACATATTCATACCATTTACTTTAGCCTTCCATAAGAAAATGGAACCTGGCTAATCCCCCCTTTACTAATCCACTCAACTCAATGTTCTCAAAACCTACTGGTAAGCTTACCTTTTCTTCTCAGCAAAGATTTAATAAAAGACAGCAATAAGGAAAGGAATGACAAGGAAAGATAATATTACTAAGTCTTAAAATCTCTCACCAAGGTATTAATTTGAATACAACTTAAACATCAGAGAATACTGTATGAGGAAAGGTCTTAGTTTATCAGTTCTTAGATCTCTGCTAATCCCCCAATGCCATACTAATCAGGAAGAAACATGTCTATGATTAGTTAAAACCAGTTACAGAGCTATGATTTGCATTTGCCCCTAGAAGTTGAAACAGCCTAGTAGAGTTTGTCTCATCACTTCCATACTGACTGCCATCTCTTGCAAGGTATACAAAAACCTGAAATTCTTAGAAAACACAGAGTGGTGATACATTGCATTGTCTGGATACTCCTTTGTTCTTTGATATTTGTTCAGTAAAAATTTATCTGAAGGAATCACTTTCCTAGATCAGTAAGTAAGCACATCAGGCCCCTTGATGGCAGATCTTCCCTTTAATCATCTGCTAACAGGAGACTGCACGAATAAAAGAGGGAACAAAGGTATGAAATCCCCTGGACACAGACTGGGAGCCATGAGTGCTCAGCTGGTTATAATTAAATAAGTATCTTTAAAGGTTCTTTCTCCTAAGGGCAAAAAGGGAGGGCAAGGTGGAAGGATCCCTTCTGATCCTAACTAGTATCTGTTATACTCTCTATAGTAGTGGTTCTCTACTGGGTATGGGAAAGCTGCTATTCTGATGTACTGTAAGGAAGGGAAATATAATTAGAACCAGGAACTGTTCATAACTCAAAGTTTCTCCTATATGTAGGTGCCACATTAAAAACCTAGTCCAAATCTATGAAAATAACCCATAGAAATGTATCAGAGCCGTCACTACTGCCAGAGCCACCCAATGATTCCATGGTTCAAGACCCTTTACAAACTTTGGTTTAATAAGGCAGACACTGTCCAGAAGGAAATGTACGAGTAATTCAAAGTGGTTTCCCTCCCTCATGACTACATATTTATAAAAATAAATAGGCAAGGCCACTTACTTTTTCAGCAAAGGACATTTTCTCCATTGTTGCCAATTTAAACTCATTCTCTAGATCTTTGTAAGAATTCTGCAGCACATCTAAGTTGCCCAGCGAAGTGTCATTTTTACATTGCAGCATTTGGATCTTCTGCTCCAATTCCACTGTCAGGTTTTCTAGTTCTAATTTTTCCTTCTTCCAAAGTTGCAGCTCTCCTTCTACCTGGGACAGTTTAGAGGCAAGCTGCTCTTGGTCTTGAATTTGACATTTTAGTCTACTGATTTCTTCATCCCTCTTCTCTAGTTTCCGTTTGCCATCTTCTACATCTTGAATGAGGTCATTCACAGAAGATTGCAAAATAATATAATTATTTTTGGCCTGGTCAAGGTCTTGTAGCAACTGAGCCTTCTCAAGTTCAAGACAATCTACTTGACTACTCAAATTCTGTTCTTTGGCCTTACAGGTCTCTTGGTCCTTACACATGGCTGCCACTTTCTCACTGAGTTCTTTTAATTGTGTTTGAAGCATCTCCACCACCGTATTAGATTCTTCTTTCACTTGTACTTTTTCTTGCTCTTTTTCTTGCAAAAGATTTTCAAAGGAAGAATTTAGTATTTCTAATTCAGATACTCGTTCTTGCCTTTTCTGTAAATCTTTGGTCAGATTTTCTTTTTCCAACTTAACGTTAACAAGATCTAATTCCAGATCTTTCAGGTTTTGGGTCATCCCTTCTATTTTTACTTTCAGGGTCTCTACCTCTGCTTTGCAATTTTCTGTCTCCAGAATTGCAAGCTCTTGGTTTTTTCCTGATATCTCTAGCTCTCGTTCAAGGTTCTCAGCTCGATCCTTAAGCAGATCTGCATGATGCTCACTTTCCTTTATTTTTTCTAAGACAAGGAGCTGCTTCTTTTTATCAGCTTCTATGTGGCCTTTCAGCTTTTCGATAATACTTCTCAGCTGATGCACTTCCTCCACTGGTGGGTCCAGACTCTGTTCTCTGGTCTTCCAGGTTTCCTGGTCATTACTCAAGGATGCTACTTCCTCATTTAGCTCTTTCAGTAGACTCTGAAGCATCTCCACTGCAGTTTTAGATTCTTCTTCTATCTGTATTTTCACTTGCTCTTTTTCTTCTAATTGGCTTTTAAGTGAAGAGAGCAACTTGTCTAATTCCAACTCCTGATCTTGTTTATCATGTAGATGTTTTGTCAGATTTTCTTTTTCAGACCTTAAAGTGACATGTTCTAACTCTAAAACTTTCAGGCTTTTGGCCATCTCTTCTATCTGTGTTTTTAGGGTCTCTACTTCTGCTTTGGAATTCTCAGAATCAAGAATCACAAGCTCTTGGTTTTCTTCAGACATCAGCAATTCCCTTTCAAGGCTCTCAATTTTATCCCTGAGTGAATCATTCTCACGTTCACGTTCCTTCAGTTTCTCTATGGCATGGAGCTGCTTCTTTTCATCAGCCTCGATGCGGACTTTCAGTTTCTCAATGCCTCTTCTCAGCTGATGCACTTCTTCTTGTGTTGAGCTCAGCCTCACTGCAAACTCACCTTTCTCCATCAGTGCGGCCTCCAAGGCCTTGGAGACGTTCAGCTTTTCGTGTTCTGAGTCACTCAGTCTGGCCTGCAGGCTTTCGGATTCCCTGACAAGTGATTCATTCTCTTTATTCAATTGTCTAATTTGGTTTTCCAGCTCACATTTTACCAAAGACAGCGCCTGCGAGTCCTTTTCCAAACTCTGCAGCTGCTCCTGGAGACGCGTTTTATCTTTCAACAGCTCATTCACATCAGAGGACAAATTCTGAAGGAGTTCTGTTTTGTCCTTTGCCTCTGTCTCTACCACCTGCATATGATGGAGACATTCACCATGGCAAGAGTCCAGCTCTTGTATTTTCTCCCTCATCTTTTCAGACAGCTGAACCAGTTCTTTGTTTTCCTTTGACATAGTATCTAATTCTCCATGAAGCTTGTTTCTTTCACTTGTGACCACTGAAAGTTCTTCTTCAAGACAGACAACAGTTTTCCGCTTATTTTCATTGTCTTTTTCTAAATGTAGCTTTTCTGTCATAACTGTCTCTAAGTCAGCTTCCACAGAGAGGACACGATGCTCAATGCTAGTTTTTTCAAATTTGATCCTGTTCAGTTCATTTTCCACATCAATAAATCTTTCTTTCCAGTTGTCATTCACTTTGGCTACATTATCTTCAATAACTTCCTGTGACAATTTATCCATGCTCATTTCCAAATGGGAATTGCAGTCTTCAGAAGTCTCTACTCTCTGGTATACCTCCTGGTTATCACAAGGAAAAGATGCCAATTTTTCATTTAAATCTGAGTTTTCTTTCTTAAGTTCCTCAACTGTGTTTTCCAATTCTATACAGGCTTCCATCTTGGTCTTAAGTTGGACCTCTTGTAAATGGAGTTTTGAGTCTAACTCTTTTATTTCATTTAGCAAATTTTCAACTTTATTGTCACGGTCCTCTATTGCATGTAGTAATCTCAAATTCTCATTTGACGTTTCTTTTATCTGCCACTGAAGATTCTGGATGGTTTCCTGATTCCTTGAGAAATCCATGGATACCAAAGAATTAGGAGCAGAAAAGGACAATTCAGAAATGGGTTCTGAACAGCCTTGGGCTTTGACTTCCACTGGAGACTCACAACTGGTTTCTGGGAACTGCTCCCTAGACGACTCTCCTGTGAGTTTTCCTGCACCCATCTCAGTTACTTTCTCAATCTCTAGATTGAGGCCCTGTTGAACATCTTTATCATAAATCTGATGAATGCCATGCTTTGGTGTTCTTTCTATAGTTTCTGAAGCACATTCTTCTGATTCTTTTATGTCACAGCTCTCATTTCGGCCTTGAATAGCCTATAATTATAACATACAACAAGAATGCATTTTATTTTTCAAGAAGAATCAAAATAGAATAGACTTAAGTATTACTTTTCAGAAACTGGCATCTGACCTCTGCTAAACACATCTCTTTAAGGGGTGCATTTTCCACTACATTCTCTTCTCTCTATCCAAATATTCAATACAATTAAACATTAAGTTAGTGGTCCCCAAGGGCAAGGCCCTGGGTAACATATTTATCATGAAGGCAAACCCTTCACAACAATGATTTTTCATATTTTCTTCCTTGCTAAGAATATTCTAGGTAGTCTAACTATAAAATTTATCCTTGTGATTATCAAAGAAGAGGCTAACCATATGTTCAGCTTCCACCTTTAGTATTTATGATCATCTTTAACTCAAGGACTTAATCACCAATCCAGCACGCATTAGGTAAATTACATATTTGAGTCTCACTTTCCTTTGGCGATCTGCTATTGTGACTACTGTTACCATCTCACCATGACTTGCCCTCCCTACCTCAGAGGTAGACAAAGGAAATCAAATGAGTCTCACAAACTACAGAGTATTATTTTTAAGCTGGTAGACTAGAAAGAACATTTATAAGCAACTAGACAATTACATATTCTATAAAGAAATGTCTCTTTAAGTAACTGATACCAAATCACATTTTTATACCATAATAAATTGTTGGAGAAAAATTATTTAGTAGTATTTAAAAGATCTCCTATATTTAGTTTCATGACTATAATGCTGTAACATTAGAAATAGTCTGAAAAGGGCATGAGAGGTTAAAAATTTACATCATAGTACCATTCATAAGCTCTTAACTTTTTTCCTGAGTGAACACAATTAACACAAGCTTTTAATGTAATATTTAACAGAGTTAAAATACATACACATTCTAAGGACCTTCAGACTCCATGATATAATTTTCTCCAGACTTTACAAACATCTTTAAGTAATTCCCCTTATAATAGTATTTAAATCTAATCACTCTAGAAATTTTACTCCTCAAGCTTTACACATTTTCCTCAAGTTCTGGTTTGTTTCAAAAAATGTTGGTATATTTTGGTTTACCTCCTTGAACCCTAAAAATATTGTAATTGAGCTTTAACGTAGACTTCAATTTAACAAGCATTTGTCGATTGCCTACTAGCCATGTAAACAAAGAAATAGCATGTAAATCCGGGTACTTACATCTTCTATGTCAGTGCCAAGCAAAGACCGAGAACTTAAGTCCAGACCTTGTAGTTGGAGTCGCGCTACTTCAAGCTCAAGTGACAGTTGCTCTGTCTGTTTCTTTTCAGCTGCCAACTTGGACTCCATCTCCAGAGTTACGCTAGTCAGCTTCTGTTGCCATTGTTCATTTTCTGACAAATACTGCTTCCTAAGGCAGTCAAGCTCTTGCCTTTCTGAACTTAATAACTGTTCGAGTTCTTGAATCGTCTTATTTTTCATAAGTCCTTGGCTTTCCATTTTCTCTTCTAGCTTCTCAAGGGACTGCTGGTATATCTGACAAAGGGACTCAAGCTCTTCAACACTCTTCACTGAGGCAGATGAGATTTCTTTCTTGCTCACATTCTCCTCCTCCAGACTGCTGCAAGATTCGTCATCTACATTAGACTGGTTTGCTGAAACATTCCCTTCTAAATTATTCAAAAGGGACATTTCTCCTGTCTGTTCTAAAAGAGCTTTGTAAAAAGAGGAGTCTCCAAAGCTGGTAAGTCTAGGGTTGTCAGGTGCACAAGAAAATGACAGAGAAGGAATTAGTCCCTCCTCAAAGCCCTGCTTCATCTCCTTGTCCAAGTCACCTTGAAAGATTTTTAGATTCGTTGACAAGACTGAATTTTCAGCCTGTAATGAGTCAACATAGGTCTGTAACTCTGACATCTTAGAGCTCATTTGACAGTGCTGATCATGTAAAATTTTGTGTTCACTTTGTAAAGATGAGAATTTTTCCTGTAATTCAGCAAAGTGCCTTTGAACTTCTTTGTCTGACAATGTCAAGTGCTCATAGGAATTACTATCATCCAATGGATTCAAGAACACAGACTGCTGCTCTTTTTGCTGTTTGCCAAATTCGCCTTCTGGCATTTCTTTCACTAACTCACCGTGGAGAAGACCATTTTCATCAGTTAATATTTTAACTTCATTTACTAGCTTCTCCATATCTTGTGCCATTTTACTAGTTGCTGAGATACATTCTGACCTTGAATCATTCAGCTCAGACACAAGTTCACACTTTTCTGCCTGCAGTATTTCACACATTTTCTCTAGCTCATTCAGCTTGTTCATTGCTGTTTGCAGAGGGCACTGCAGGTTTGTACTGTTGTTTTGACTTGTTGACAGCTCATGAAGCACTGAAATGTACTTTTCTTCTGAATCTGTTTCACAGTCTTTAAGGTCACTAATTTCTTGCAACTGTGTGTCTTGCAGATTTCTAATTTCTAATTCTTCTCTAGTTGTCTGTAATTCATGCTGCAGGCACTCTTTCTCCTTCTCACTTTCCTGAAGTTTTAATTCCATATCTCTTACGATAGCTTCTAATTGCACCAATTGTACATTATATCTGTCTAGAGAAATGTCTTTAACTTCAAGATCCATTTGAAGTTGACAATTACACTTATTTATCTCACTCTCCATTTCTTTCACAGAGTCCCTCATTGGTTCCAATTCTAGATTTTGACACTTGTGTTTAGTCTTTGTTAACTGTTTAAGTTGCTCATTCTCCTGTAATAAGTCATTAAGTTCCTTTTGCATCTTATTTTGTTCTTCCGTTAAAGTCATGATTTCTTGCTTTAACCCATCAGCCTCACTCCTGGCATTGTTCTGGACATCTGCAATCTCAGATTTCAGCTCTTGCTGCACCGTCCCCAACTCTAGTATTAGATTGTGGTTTCTTTCTTCAGCAAACGCTAATTTTGTTAAGAATTCTTGGTGTTCCTTTGCAAATGTTTCCTTTAGCTGTTCCAGCTCATTTTTACTATGTTCACTAACACTCGTGCATTCATTTAGCAAGCACTCTAATTTACAGTTCTTTTCTTGGGCTGCTTTGTATTTTTCACTGAGATCCTCATATGCATTTCTGGTATCTTCACATCTTTGCAGTAAAATAAGTTTTTCTTGCTTGTACTGATCAGATAACTCTGAAATGCTTTTCTCCCTTTCATCTATATAGTTTGAAAAGCTCTCACTTTTTTGGAGTAAGTTCATCTTCTCTTGATTTAAAGTTTCATTAATTTCCTTCAGAGTCCCATTCTCTTGGGTCAGTTCTTCAATTTCTCTTTTATTTAGAGAAATGATGGAACTCATTTCCTTCTTCTCTGAGCTCAGGGTTTCAGAGAAAAATTGTAGCTCCTTTAGAGAGTTTTCAAGTAGATGGTTGCTCTTTTTTAGTTCTTGGATCTCTGCTTGCTCAGTTTCTAATTTTTCATTCAAAAGTTGCAACTCTTTTTCCTTGTTCTCAAGGGCAACTAATGTTTCAGCAACAACATTCTGATGAACAGAAGTGTCTTCTTGTAACTTATTAATGCGTTGACTTGTTTCAGCCACAAAACTTTGATGCATCTGTTCTGCTTTAATGAGATTGTCTTCTATTTCTCCTTTGATCTGTACCAACCCTTCACACTGCTTTTGCAGATCTGAGTTCATCTGCTTTTGAGATTCTAACGAAAATTCAAGTGAATCAACTCTATTTTGTAAGATGGCTGAATTTTTCGGACTTTGGTCTGCTTCTAAATGGCATTTGCTCCTCTCTGAAGGCATGTTTCCTTGCTCTCCAGTTATATTTGCAAAAGAATTATTCATGGCAGGCTGCTGTTCAAAAGCCAAAGGACTTCTCTGATGATCCTCATTTGTCACTCGAGAATCATCTTTGGAGTTTAGCAGATCCCTGAGGCTCTCATATTTGGCATATAAGTCTTGGTAGCGCTGATCTTTGTCCATTATTTCACTTGACAGTAACTGAAGCTTGTGTTCGAGACCTTCAACTTGCCCAGTAAGCTGTGAAGTTTTCAAACACATATTTTCTATTTCCTTCTGATGTTTCTGATCTGAGAATTCAGCTTTCTGCTGTAGCTCCACATACGCTTGTTTCTGCATCTCTAGCTCTACAGACTTGCTGTCTATCACATTATGTAGGTTTCTGATCTCGACATTTAGGTTTTCTCTTTCCATCTCTAGTGTTCTTACTCTCTCATTGTATTCATGACTTTTTATTTGTTGTGTCTTGAGACAAGTTTCTAAGTGATTAATTTTACTCTGCAAGCTTTCTTTTTCTGATTCCATCTGATTTAAGAGTTTCTCATTTTCACTTTTCCAACAAGAAAACAGAGTTTTCTCTTCTTTTAATTCTTCATACTCTTTCTTTTTTAACTCCAAAGCACTCAATAAGGCTTTGGACTCTTTCTCTGTCTTGCTTAACTTATCGTTCAGCTGTTCAATGTGATGTTCCCTTTTCTTCAAAAGGTCTTGAGAACAATCTCGTTGCTTTTCCAGATCAGCCACGGCAAGCTTCAGTTTCTCTAAAGTCAAGGAGTTTTCTTGCTGATTTATTTTTTCTTGAAGCTCTCTTAACATGGTTTCCTGTGAGGTATTCTTGGCTATTAAAAAAAAAAAGTCATCAATGTATATAATATATACTTAATCAGTAAGAATTCTAAGAATTTCTAAAAAAAAAAAAGTCCAAACAAACAACTTCTTGAGCCCTGTAAAAACTGGCATTATTACCTGGGTACCTCCTGAAAAGTAGCATGTCTGTGATAACTAAGTTTGCATTTTTGTTAAAATGAGAAAAATTTTCATTGTAAGGATAATAAATTTGTTCATCTTTCTAGCAGTTTAATACAGTGCTGTTGTGGCCGGGCTCGGTGGCTCAGCCTGTCATCCCAGCACTTTGGGAGGCCGAGGTGAGTCAATTGCCTGAGCCCGCGGGTTCGAGACTTGACCCGCCTGGGCAACTTGATGAGACCTCATCTCTACAATAAATCAAAAATTAGCTGGGTGTGGTAGCGCGCGCCTGTAGTTCCAGCTACTTGGAAGGCTGAGGTGGAAGGATCGCCGGAGCCCAGCAGGTCGAGGCTGTGGTGGCCGGGAGTGGCCACTGCACTCCAGTCTGGGTGACAGAGTGAGACTCCGACTCAAAAAAAACAAAAAAACAAAATACAGTGCTGTTGTATAAAGTACAGAGGGATATTTTCCTAACCAATTGAAACTTTCTTTTCTTCTTTTTGTTTGCATGTGTTTAGGTATGTGTGTATTTCCCCCTCATCTTTTGAAATATTTATTCAAAGAGAGAAAACTGGGACAAGCACAGCACTGAAATGGAAATATTCTACTTCATAGTGGAGTGATTCTGATGTCCCAGAAAAGTAAATAACTACTCAATTATTTTAGCTAAAAATCCACAGGAGTAGGCTTAAGTAGAAAAGAATATATGACACTATATTTCAGTAACTTTCAAGGCCTATCTGTGAGTATTCTTTTTTCTTTTTGAGTTGGAGTCTCACTCCGTCGCCCAGACTGGAGTGCAGTGGCCGCTCCCAGCCACCCGCAGCCTCGACCTGCTGGGCTCCGGCGATCCTTCCGCCTCAGCCTTCCGAGTAGCCAGAACCACAGGCACACACTACCATGCCCAGCTGATTTTTTGATTTATTGCAGAGATGAGGTCTCACCAAGTTGCCCAGGCGGGTCTTGAACCCACGGGCTCAGGCAATCCACTCACCTCAGCCTCCCAAGGCACGGGATAGCAGGCTGAGCCACGAGCCCGGCTGAGTATTCTTAAGGTACAATATCACCTACATCTCAGTATCTCACAGTACGGGCAGTGTCTATGAAATACAAAAATCATCTGGAAGCTGCTCCAATTCCCACCTTGTTTTCTGCCCAGTGACTCACCTCTTCCCACTGGCCCCTCCTAGTGGAGCATAACCACCATGTTTTCATTAAACAGTGATGAGAGGGCTTCATGTTGTACAACTATGCTGGGGGAGATTAAAAGCTGAGAACCTCCATAGTGATGACAAAGGCAGCATATATTACCATCTCACACATTACATTATGTGGAAAGCAGTAAATACTTCTAATCCTCTCATCTCAATCTTCCTACTGACAGTTGATGGCTTGTGGAGATAGCACCACAGGGCTTCGATCTACTTTACTTGTGAGGACCTCAAACAATGACACTGGCGACCAACAATGAAAAATGACCTAGCAGTTCCTATTCCTAGAGTTTTACCTCAAGAAAACTCAAAACTGACATTTCTACCTGCTACCATGGGAAAATTGAACACTGTCCTGGGGAGATTGGAATTAAAAAAAAGAAAATAGTCTCAGAGAAGTGTAACACACATTCCACAGATCAGAGTTAAAAGAAATCCTAGACAGGCAAATACCCCAAGTGAGAAAATAAACATAAGTAACAGATACATGGCACAAACAAACAAATGGGAAGCCAATGGTAGGTTCGTTTGATGTGTAGAACATAATTCTGTGGCTTTAAAATAAGGAAATTAAAACATTCGTCAAGTAAGTCATCAAAAACAATGGTCATTAAAGGCTTGGAAAACGTGCATTTAATATAGGTTTTTCCATTATCAGGGAAATGATAATGAGTCAGGACATGAGCTGTCTGGATGTAACTAACAAGCACACTTGAGACACAGACAATAGCACTCAGGGGTGAGAGACACACTGACAATTTAGCTTTGTGTGGAAAATATTTACCCTTCTGGTTTCAAAGTGCTGAACACCAGACATTTGGGGACTCAATATATTCCCATTTAAAAATGTCCAATTATCACTCTGGAAACTAAAAGGTGGAAGATGAAAAACTTCTCCCACATCAACTGCACACATCTTTTTAAGTGAATATATGAAAAAAATCCAAAGAAGTTTCTCTAATATGCTAATGCCCCCCACCCTCCCTCACGGGAATGAATAATCGCTTAGAAAAGTCATTCTAAAACACTAAGTTTCACTTAATAGTTTACTTAGTGTTTACTTACCTTTCATTTCTTCTGCAAAATTCTGGCTCTGATTCAGACACCGTTTGATTTTCTTGAGTTCTTCCTCCAAGTGGCAGACTTCTCTGGCCTTCTGCTCAGACTGACTCTCAAGGAAGCAGTTTTCCTTCTTTGCTTCCTAAAACACATTTATTTGGTTATAAATGAAACACATGCTCAAGCAAGTTATGATTTCTGCCTTAATAAAAGTTCCAAACCAAAATATTTATATATCTCACTAGGGAAAGAATCACACTTTTTCTTGTGATTGCCAATAAAGTTAGACATTCTTACTTAAATCAAATGTTATGAGTAGAAATCAAAACAAAAGCACAAACCCCAAATCTTACAATAATTATTTTCCCTCAAGAAATAGATTTATTTGAACTTCCTCATCGTTCATATGCATATTAAGGAATTTGGTCATTAGGAAAATCCTATCTACAAGATCCTCAAAGACAAAAACCCCAAGTTCCTATCACACCTGAATGACCAAATATATCTTTACAAACATTTGATGTGTTAATAAACCAAAAATATTCTCATGATACATTTTTACTTTTCATTGCAAAACAATTTTAAGATTTACTGTTATGTGAATGTCTTTATGGGAAAATTTGCCTTCAATAACTGCTTACCAAGAAAATCTGTGGCCGGGCTCCGTGGCTCAGCCTGTAATCCAACCACTTTGGGAGGCCAAGACGAGTGGATTGCATGAGCCCACGGGTTCGAGACCAGCCCAGGTGACTTGGCAGGACCTCATTTCTACAATAAATCAAAAATTAGCCAGGCGTGGTAGCGCTCGCCTGTAGTTCCAGCTACTTAGTAGGTTGAGGCACAAGAATTGCCAGAGTCCAGCAGGTTGACACTGGGGTGACCGTGAGCGTACCACTACACTCTGGCCTGGGCGATGGAGTGAGATTCCAACTCAAAAAAAAAAAAAAAAAGAAAGAAAGAAAATCTGCAATGTTAGCGATGCTGGACCATGCATCATGAAAAATGCAGACGTGAATAAGGCAGTCTCTGGGTACTCACCAATGGGTGAAGATGTGATACCAATGCCACCAGGATGTGCTTAAGAGACAGAGAGTATGTGATGGAAAAATCACACGGCTGAAGCACAGAGGAAGAATTAATTGTGGCTTCTGAGCTTTCTCTGTGAAAACAGGGTCTTTGGGTATCCAATTAAAGAGCTACCCAAGCATCGATGTAGCAGAGATGCATACACAGTTCCATTCTGTTACCTAGGGACACCTGCATGTTTCTCTGAATCTTAAAACCAAGTAGTATTTGCATGCCAAATAAAAACACTATTGCTTATTAACCACATAAGACTCACATAATAAACATCATAAATACTCATACTTAAAACTTTCTTTTTTTTTTTTTTTTTTTTGAGTTGGAGTCTCACTCCGTCACCCAGGCTGGAGTGCAGTGGCACGCTGACAGCCACTGCAACCTCATCCTGCTGGGCTCAGGTGATCCTTCCATCTCAGCCTTCCAAGTAGCTAGAACTATAGGCACAAACCATCATGCCTGGGTAACTTTTTTAAAAAAATTTATCATAGAGATGAGATCTCATCAAGTTGCCCAGGCTGGTCTCAAACCCGTGGGCTCAGGCAATTCTCTCACCTCAGCCTCTTAAAGTGCTGGGATTATAGCATGAGCCACCACGTCCGACCATACTTAAAACTTTCAATGATTTTTATAGCTGATAAGTATCTCAGCCTCCACTCTACACCACTCTCTGGACGACAGGGAATTGGTAAGTATCATTAAGCTGATAGAGCCAAGCACCTCACATTCTTCAGGAGGAAAAAAAATTCCTAAGGCTAATTTTTACAAAAATACATTTCAAAAAGATTCCTCTGAGAAGAGGAAAATTTTTGAATCTTAAAGAAACAATTAAGACCCATCCTCCAAAACCCTACTGCACTGTTAGAAAACAGATGGCCCTGGCAATACTGCGCTGGAAGGCTGCCTTCAATTATCAGTCTGGTTACTACCAGCAGATGGGTACCGATGTAGCAAAGCCAAATTCAAGAAGAGGGAGAATCTGGCTAGTAGAAAGTACTTGAAAACTTGCTGGCAGCTGCTTGGTTCCTATATATGCATTCATTTCATCATTAAAATAAGACAGAACCCTGTTGTGGTTATTATACTCCTCCATCTCCTGTGTCCTAATCCTGCTTCCCTGCCACTAGCTAAACTGCACTCTTATCAAATTAAGATATCAATCAGAACTAAAGGGCAGCTCCAACTCACCTCAAGACTGAGAGGCTAATAGTCACACTCGTCAATGTTAAATTTTGTAAAGAATGATCATTAAGGTGCAACAATGTTATTGATTTATATTAGCATCATTAAACTATAGAACCTATAATCACTTGTTTGTTCTTCGGGCTCAGTATATCACCCCTCAAATGAGATCACAGATAGGAAAGGACAAACACTTTAAAGCACTTCTACAAAAGTAATGAAGAATTATTATTAGTACTTCTTCACCAAATTTAACAGTAACCAGATCTCTACGATCAATGCTGAGATCAACTGAATGAGGTCAACATAAGAGAGTAACTAGAATGTAACTACCTGGGTTGACTTAGCTTTTTTATTTTGCAGCTTAGAAAATGTTTTCTATGCTGAAAAAAAAATTAAATCTAATGATACCAACATCTGGAGGTTTGACAAGAAGTCTGGAAAGACCCCATGTGCAAAACTGGGTATATCCCAAAAGGAAGAAAAGAAGGTAAAAAAAAGGAGAGGAGGGAGAGAGAGGGAAATTTTATGCTTATGTGTTTGTTGGTCTCAATCCATCTCTGTCCATAACTGGAGACATTTAAATGAATAGGAAGCTCAATGGAAAGATTAACATGCCTTTCTCTATTCTGGCATTAACTCCATAAATATTTGTTCCTAACGAAGAAATGTTCAGCCAATCCTGGGACCCAGCAGGCTTATAATGCTATGACTATGACCAACCCAAGAATTTTAAAAGGCCAGAATTTAGAAAATGAACATCTGAAAATGGATGTGCAGCCGGCCATCCATCAGCAATTAGTTTTCCGCGAGGCTACAGCCACTTAAGACTTGATTGGGTAGCTCATTATCAACAATGAGTTAAGCATACAAAGATATATTCTCCTAGGCAACTCTTGCATCCTCACATGATGTACAAAATTGGGTACTACTCTGGAAAAACACAACAAATATCCCTATAACCACCAGCCAGCATTAGAGCTTAGCAAGCAATTCCACACAGATCAACTCCGGTTTAGGGGCAGCAAGGGAAGCATCATTTCCTAGGGCCAGACAAAACAAATTTCAGTTACTGTGTGGGCATGATCCCATCCATGAATATCACTTAATATGTCCCCTGCTAGGGCGAAGCCTATGGACATGAATTAGGGATAGACACAAAGGATGTATTTTTCCCCTTCCTCCTCATCATTCTTGCCTGCCAGACCAAGCTCCTTAGAGGACCTAGTGTAATACAGATCCCTGTGCTTGGGAAGGTCCCCAAGCAAGTGTTCCCTTATCTTGAGTGTCTAATGACAGTGTTTTATTACCCAACCCCAATGCTATGGGTCTGGCACTGGAAGCTAGATGAGCAGCGTATCTCAACACTCCATTCACTTTAATACTAAATGTTAACTTTACCCTTGATTGGGCCATTAAATCACACTTCCAGTACTGATAATTTCTCATCGTGAGCAGCATGTTTACTAAACACCGACAAGGAAAATTTCAGTCACAACTGTCACATTATTTCGGCATCCAAAACCTATAAGCGTGCTAAATTTGTTAGTACTTACTTATAATTAGATACAAAAAGATACCCAGCGTGATACAAGAATAGAACAGGCAAAATTTTAAATATAAAAAAATCTCAAATGCACTGTCCTCCGGTCACACTTTCTACGCCTGCAGGTGACAGCCAACAATGCTAACATCAAAAGGTCATAACAGTTGTGAAGGCCAAAGCAATGAGCAGGTGGACTGCAATAATTGAGCATTTATGCACTATATTGACATACAATATTTAATTTAACCATGAATACAGTCTTGAAAAGGGAGAGGGATTATTTGTCTCTATGTGCAGATGAGGAAAGTCAGACTTAGAAAGGGTAAGGCATCATCTCAAGGTCACACAGCAGATAAGTGCAAAAAAGCAATGCAATTTCAGATCTCGCTCACTTTAAAGCCACCACCATTTTCCTACTAACTTATATACCACCCTAACTGGGTACATCATTTCTCTGATCTCAGTCCTAATGCAAAACACAATAGCCAGCTAAACCCTTTGAATTCTTGATATCACTCAAAAGAAGACACATACACAAACATAAACATAAATTAACACAAATACTAAATACATTCCCAGACCCTGGGCTAAACACTTTCACATGATCTCTCTCACTCGACACAGAAATCAGTGACATGTAAATGAAACGAGATAATCATGTACCTCGGGACTGTCTAGGGTTAATTGAGGACAGCTCTAAGCTGGCAAATCAGACCTTAGGGCATGAACATGTCTTCAGAAACACCTGCAAGACAACGTCCAGCCCACTACTGCATCTTGGCCAAGCACACAGCTTTAAAAGTGTTTGGACCCTCTTAACCAGATGATAGCTTTTACAAAATGTTTCCACCAGGCAGCCAGTGGAGTCGCAGGAGAGTTCCTGGCTGAAAGGGAAGCTCACAGAGGGAAGAGTTCGATGCCAGTCTGCCTGTGGAAATGTTAGCAGAAGCATCTGTTGGTTGGTCCCCACTGGCCAAAAGGCAAACATTTGTTTTGCTGAAACAAACACTTCCATTTGAAAACGTTTGCTGATGAAACCATCATCTGATCTGAAGTTTTCTTCCACTTGGGTGGCTGGAGCCGTGGCCCCTTGTCTCTAGCAGGATTGCCCCTTCGAGGCTAGCTGATTTAACAATCACCTCTTTGCTACTGACAGATGTTCTGATTTTACCATCATGATATACTCTGCAAAGCTGTGGGGATAAATACATTTGGACTCTCCTCACTGGCATAAATAACTGATCCTTACAGAGAATTTTGTTCCTAAATCTTTACAGCCTAAAAAGTGATCTCAGAACATTTACAAAATAAATGGAAAAACTAAAGAATAAGTGAAAAACATTCTGTGAGGTTTAACAGAGAAGGAACTTCTACTATCCTTGTGCTGTTCCTCTTCCTAAATTTACAATGATCTATGGCTTTCTTCAAATTGTTTTAGTCTATTAACTGTTGCTAAATGGTTCTTAATTAAGCCCTTAAAATAAAACTCAGGCCACTAAATAAATTCAGAGAAAAGCCAAATTAAAGTACATATGGATAAAATCCCATCAGTAGAAACATCGGGGTAGTTCTCAAATCCATGCCACCCATAAACTCACCCATCATTTTATAGAATAAACATAATCTCCAAAGACACTGTCAACCAATGCTTCCACATGCAGAGCACTAAGGTCAGTGTTCACCTTTGAAGTCAGGCTAATGTAATTTACAATTACTTGTTTTTTGTTTTTGCTTTTGTTTTTATAAGAGACAGAGTCTCTGTCGCCCAGACTGGAGGGCAGTGGCGCAATCATAGCTCACTGTAATCTCGAATTCTTGGACTCAAGTGATCCTCCCGCTCAGCCTCCAGAGTAGCTGGGATACAACACCATGCCGTGCTAGTTTTGTTGAAGTTTTTGTAGGAATGAAGTCTCATTATCTTGCCCAGGGTGGTTCTGACCTCAAACTCCTGGCCTCAAATGATCCTCCCACCTCAGCTCCCCAAAGTGCTGGGATTACAGGCATGAACCACTGCACTTGGCCTTCATGTTTTTTTGTTGTTTTTTTTTTTGAGTTGGAGTCTCACTCTGTCACCCAGACTGGAGTGCAGTGGCCGCTCCCGGCCACTGTAGCCTCGACCCGCTGGGCTCCAGCGATCCTTCCGCCTCAGCCTTCCGAGTAGCCAGAATTACAGGCATACGCTACCATGCCCGGCTGATTTTTTTATTTGTTGTAGAGATGAGGTCTCGCTGCCCAGGCGGGTCTCGAACCCGCAGGCTCAGGCAATCCACTCACCTCAGCCTCCCAAAGGCGCAGGATTACAGGCTGAGCCACCGAGCCCGGCCCATGTTTTTATAAGAATTTTTAATCTAGAAGCTTTTCATCCATCATTATGTTTGTTTATATAAGTCTGTGATTTTCCACAGGTTTTTTAATACTGGATGACTCAAAAGTCAACCCCTAGAGAAAGGATTTAGATAATACTTCTCACCAACAATGTTCCTTCCCTTTAGAAAATCCCTTCCTTTCTTTCTTCCATCCTTCCACCTCCTAGGTGGTCTAAAGCAATCTTTTTAAAAGAAGTAGGCATTCTTCATACAAGTCATGTTTTCCTTTAATTGCTACATGCATATTAGTAATTACATCGAGAATGGAGAGTGGAAAAATAAATATTCATATGCTGTCATGGGTGATATACAGAATACTTTGTAACACTTCTAGCAAATAGAAACTGGGTCTGATGGCTCATGCCTGTAATCCCAGCACTTTGGGAAGCCAAGGTGGGAGGATTGCTTGAGCCCAGGAGTTCAATACCAGTCTGAACAACATAGTGAGACTTCGTCTCTACAAAAAGTCAAAAAATTAGCTGGCCATGGTGGCACACACCTATAGTCTCAGATACTCAGGAGGCTGAGGTAGAAGGATCATCTGAGCTCAGGAGGTCAGGGCTATGGTAAGCCGTGATCATGCCACTGCTCTCTAACCCAGATGACAGACTGAGATCCTGACTAAAAAAAAAGGGAAAAAAATGTGGTCACAATAAGCTACTGACAAATGGTATAAAAATCTTCTTCTCCCCTGACACAGAAGTGGGAAATCCTCAGCTCCCTCTTCACTTACCTCCATGTTTCTCCTCAGTTCGTCCTCTTTGAGTTGACTTGCCTGGAACGCCTGTTCAGTTCTGCAGAACTTTTGCTTAAATTCTTCCAGATCTTTTTCTAGCTGTTGCTTTACTGATGTGACCTATAAAAAGAAAAAAGAAAAAAAAATGGCAGTGTCATTTTTATGTTCTTTACTTTTTCAATAATCATTTAGCCATTTATTTTGGCTGAGAAACAGCACACATCATATCTAAATATATAACTTAAAACATCATAATGAACTGGTAGTATCACTTGGTGATATGACAGCACCAAATGGAGATGAGAATGGCTGGGTTGGGGGAGAAGCCAAAAAGAAAGCTCCAATCACAAAAAAACAAAAAAGATAGTAATTGGGGGAAAAAAAAAGATGAGCTAAGAAATAAACCAAGATAATGTGCTTTCAATATAAAGGGGGGGCAAAAAAATGTATACACATTTTATGTTCACTGTAATCAAAAGTGTCTGGACATTGATGGTAACCACTTTGAGCACCTCTTGTAATTGCAGAAGTCAAACATGACTTGTACGCATTTTACTGAGTATTACAATATATATACAGTATTTTTTCCTTTCTTAAAAATGTGTATACATTGTTTTGGCACCTTTTGCATATAACAAAATTTTTAAACTAACCTGTATCCATAATATAACATACAAACACACTAATGATTCAATTTACAAAAAAAAGTTGTTAAAAAGAGCAATGGGTAGAAACAGAAAAGTTCATACAAAAAATACTAATAACTACTGAAAAAAATGACTTTAATGATAATAAAGGAAATAAGAATTAAAACAATGATACGATAACATTTTTTACTCCCTAGCTGGCAAAGCTGTAAAAACCAAGACTTTCTCTGATAAACTAAGATGAGTAGAAAAAGACCCTCTCTTATACCTAATGAGAGACTAAACTGCTTATAACTTCTTGGAGGGCAATTTGCAGTATCTATGAAATGTTAGAATACCTATCCCTTCAGGCCATCAATTTCACATCCAGAAACTGTCCTACAGAAACATCAGCACCACACACATATTACAAACAGTACAGCAGTGTACAAGAAAATGATGAGAACTGAAATATCCATTAGGGGAATGACTAAATAAACAACAAAACATCCAATAAAAGCAAGGGTAGAAAATAAACAGAATGTTCCCTTTCAATTCAAACAAAAACTCCAACTACACATCTATAAATGTCTTTTTTAAAAGCCCTTGGAGAACACCCATTAAACTGTGAGTAACAATTTATCCTGGAAGAGGAGAGAGAAGGAGGATTTTTCTTTCTTTTTACCTAACTTGGATAAACGGATAGATAGACAGATGTATCTATAAGTAATTCAGATAGTTCCTCATATATAACAAATATCAATACAGTTAGCTCCCCCTCCCATCTGCGTTCCCTCATCTCTGATTCCTCTACTGCCGTGTCCTACTGCATTATCTTGAATTTAAGAGTTTTAAGTGATAGTTCTCATAACATAAGATATTCCACTTACTTGGTAAAATCTTAATTTTAGGAAATAAAGATGCAAACACTAAGAAAACAACTGACAACGGGTGAATACCTGACATGCCCAGGATACAATAAAATGTGTCACTCACTCTAGCAAGAAAAGTCAAGAAAAGAAAGAACTACTGCATTGCAGATGCTCTATTTTTTTTTTTTTTTTTTTTTTGAGTTGGAGTCTCACTCTTTCACCCAGGTTGGAGTGCAAGTGGCACAATCACAGCTCACCACAGCCTTAACTTGCTGTGCTCAGACAATTCTCCTGCCTCAGCCTCCCAAGTAGCTGGGATGTGTGCCACCACAACCAGCTAATTTTTTTTTTTTTTTTTTTTAGAGACAAGGTCTTGCTATGTTGTCCAGGCTGGTCTCAAACTCCTAAGTTCCAGTAATCCTCCCAGCTCAACCTCCCAAAGTGCTGAGATTACCAAATGAGCCTCCATAGCCAGCCCTGCTCTGCCATTTGAAAGTTACAGATATTTAGTGTTTAAGTGCTGTAGCTAGAGCGCTGAATAAACAAAAAAAATTCATGGAAAGATTTGAATGACAGAAGGAAGATAATATAAAAACAAACAAATGAGCATATTGTATGTATGGCAAAATACACTATAAAGAAAACCAGGTAAGCTAAAGAAAACAGAAAATGCTTGAGGTTAAGGATGTATGTAGTGTCCAGAGACACTCTGAAAGGTGACATTCGAGCTGAAAGCTCAAGGAAGCAAAGGAGCACACTGGGCAGATCCATCTGGAAAAAGAGCATCCCTGGAAGAGGGAACTCCAAGAGCAAAGCCCAGAGTTGGCATGCACTTGGTGTGCTCGGTCAAGGAGGCCACGTGAGTAAAGGGAGAGCCAGAGATAAGTTTGGTGAATGAGGTGATAGGGAGCCCAGTGAAGGTCCTGCAGACCTGTGGAAGGACCTGACTTTTATCTGAGAGAGACGGGAAGTGATTGCAGGGTTTTGAGCAGAAAAGTCACATGATCTGACTTATACTTTAAAACGTTCACTCTGCTGCTGGTTGAAAACTAACTGTATACCAGGCACAGCAGCTCATGCCTGTAATTCTAGCACTTTGGGAGGCCGAGGTGAGAGGATCACTTGAGCCCAGGAGTTCAAGACCAGCCTAGGCAACAGAGCAAGACCTTGTCTCTACAAATAAAAAAATAAAAAAACTAGTCGGGCCTGGTACCACATGCCTATAGTCCCAGCTACTTGAGAGGCTGAGACGGAAGGATTGCCAAGCTCAGGAGGTCAAGGCTGCAGTGAGCCATGATTGTGCAACTGTACTCCTGCCTGGACAACAGAGTGAGACTTCAACTCAAAAAAGAAATATAAAAATAAAAAAGGCTCACTATGCTGCTGGTTGAAAACAAATTGTATGCCAGACACAGTGGCTCATGTCTATAATCCCCGTACTTTGGGAGGTTGAGGTGGGAGGATCGCTTGAGTCCAGGAGTCAAGACCAGCCTGGGCAACATAGTGAGACCCATCTCTACCAAAAAAGAAAAAAAGTAGAGACAAACACAGGAGCTGGAAGACCAAAGAAGAGGCTAGGACAGTAATCCAAAAAGGGAGAGGAAGGTGGCTTAAACCAGGAGGTGGCACTAGATATGATGAAAAGTAGAGTCAATATAGACTATAAAGAGGGACATAAAAGTCAGATTTAGTCTTAGCAGGAAGGTAGGGACACATAGAGGGTTTCTGGGGTGGCTGACAAGGTTTTTTGGGGATTTGTTTGTTTGTTTTTGAGACAGGGTCTCGCTCTGTCACCCAGGCTGGAGTGCAGTGGTGCAATCCAGCTCACTGCAGCCTTCATCTCCTGGGCTCAAACAATCCTCCTGCCTCAGCCTCCCAAGTCAGTAGGACTACAGGCACATGTCACCACACCTGGCTAGCTTTTGTATTTTTTGTAAGGACAGAGTCTCACTTATGTTGTCCAGGTTAGTGTAAAACTGCTGCCCTCGAGTGATGCTCCTACCTTAGCCTCCCAAAGTGCTGTCAGTGCAATCAGTCAATTACAGGCATGAGCCACCATGCCTGGCCAACACAAAGGTTTGGAGCTGAGCAGTGTGGAGAATAGAACTGCTAATTACTGGGATGAAGAAGACTAAGGGAGGAGCAGATTTGAAAAAGAAATAGCTGGAGTTCAATATTAGCATACTCGGTAGAAACGCCTACTAGATATGCAAGTGCAATATCAAGTACACACCCAAATACAGGACAGGCATCCAGGCTGGGAATGCAAAACAAGAGTCATCAACATGTAAATGACATGTCAACTGCCTGAGAACACCTGTAGTAAGTCTTTTTTTTTTTTTTTTTTTTTTTTTAGTTAGGGTCTCACTCTGTCACCCAGGCTAAAGTACACCCAGGCTAGAGTGCATGCTCACGGCCCCTGCAGCCTCAATCTTCTGGGCTCAAGCAATCCTTCTACCTCAACCTCCCAAGAAGCTGGGACTACAGAACCCCCCCTCCACCACACCGAGCTAATTTTTGCATTTTTTTGTGGAGATGAGGTCTTGTTATGTTGCCCAAGCTGATCTCAAGCAGTTATTTCACCGTGGCCTCCCAAAATTCTGGGATTTCAGGCATGAGTCTTAAATAAGTAAACTTATTAGCATTTTCAATGCTTTAACTATTGGGGGGGCATAAATTCCCACTTGGTCACATGATAAGAACTACCAGAATATCGGAGACTTCCACAGACCTTCAGATCTGAAATCCTAACTCACTCCATTCTTCCTCAAGACAAAGAAACAAAGAGTTTCTAACCGAGAGTTAGAAAGGTTGTTTGCTCTCCACTTGGACAAGTGAGAAAAGTGAGACTAGAAAAATTTTTCTTTAAAAAGATGATATGCCAGCTGTGACAGAGGAATACCATGGACAGGGAAAGGGGGAGATTACTGAGGCAAGCGAGTGCCCTACTTTATCCAGTTCAGCCTGCAGGATGTTGTGCGCATTCTTGGCTTGTTGTAACTCCTGAGTGAGTCTGGCTTTCATCTGAGTGCACTCCTGGTCCAGCGTTTGGAAAGAACGCTGCTGCCGGCAGAGCTCCTAAAAAACAAAGGGCACACACATCAGCCTGATGATGGTTCCCTAGGGAGAGTCCAGAGTGACACACAAGCATCCTCACAGGTGACGCAGTAGAGAAAGTGCAGGAGACAGTGAGGAGTCAGCCAACCATCCACTTAATGACAAATGTAATCAGCCTCACCGCTGGGCCCACTAATCCAATCCAGGCCTCTGAGGGCAAGGGAAAGGAGTCCATCACTTGACCACATGGAAACACTGTTTCCGCCTTGTACTAGTCTTGAATTAATCTTCTATATTTTGAAGGATCAGGGGCAAAAGAGAAGTACTCAGCAGCAAGTCACAACTCAGCTAAGAAATCAAACACACAAATGGCGCTTAAAACATCAGAAATGATGTGGCACTTAAAATGGCACCATTAACTGTGATAACTGCAGAAAGATCCCAGTTAACACCTCTAGTCACTCATATTAAAAGCTATCAACTCTTCATCCGTATGAGACGTGTTCAAATTAAATCACCTGAAAGACCCAACCTGGCAGATTCTTCTGCAAGGGCACCTTCCACCCTAACTCCGCTGCCAACTACCTTTCTCATTTATTTGCCAACCCACAAGCTTTAAAAACAACTAGAGAATGTCATACAATTTCCTTCACAGCAGAGCGTCCAAAGGAATAAATACGATCTTTTCCTACTCAGTAACAAATCTCAAAAAAAACAGAAAACATAAATAAAAAAGAAAATTCTGACTAATTTCCTTCCCCAGTCAAAAACTGAAAGATGACAAAAAGCACAGGAGTGTAGGTATGAAGGAAAGTAAAGTGACCTTTAGCTCACAAAGCATTTTCCCTCTAATATAATTTCCCAAATAATTATAAACTGCTCCCCTTTTCAAATGATCAAACTATGAAAAGCCCACAAAAAGTCTTTGGACAAACTCTTCATATATCCGTTTCCCTTACCTCTTGAAACTCTTTTTCTTTATCCTTAATCTTCTGTTCCAGAGAACATCTGGCACTTTCTGCATTTTGTCGCTGACAACTCAAATCTTCAGTCAATTTTTTCAGCTTTTGTTCCAATGCAGTACACTAACAACAAATACAAATGTTCAAGACAAAAATTATTAAAGGATAAAAGCAAATATTTTGTGTTTCAGAAAAATTTATTCCAAGATCTGCTTCAAGTTTACCATTGTTTTGATATTTTTATTCCATTAAAAAGTTGAGTTTCAGCCGGGCTCGGTGGCTCAGCCTGTAATCCCATGCTTTGGGAGGCTGAGGTGAGTGGATTGCCTGAGCCCGCGGGTTCTGAGACCCGCCTGGGCAACTTGGCGAGACCTCATCTCTACAATAAATCAAAAAATTAGCCAGGCATGTTAGCGTGTGCCTGTAGTTTCAGCTACTTGGAAGGCTGAGGCGGAAGCATTGACAGAGCCCAGCAGGTCGAGGCTCCGGTGGCCGGGAGGGGCCACTGCACTCTAGTCTGGGCAACAGCGTGAAACTCCAACTCAAAAAAAAAAAAATGTTGAGTTTTGCTGGGTGTAGTGGCTCACACCTGTAATCCCAGCACTTTGGGAGGCAGAGAAAGGATTGCCTGAGCCCAGGGGTTTGAGACCAGATGAGCAACTTGGCAAGATCTCCTCTCTACAGTAAGTCAAAAAATTAGCCAGGTGTGGTGGTGTACACCTGTAGTTCCAGTTACCTGGAAAGCTTAGGATGGAAGGATCCCCTGAGCTAGCAGATTGAGGCTGCAGTATTTGTGATTGTGCCACTGCACTCCAGCCTGAGTAACAGAATGAGACTCTGACTCAAAAAAAAAAGTTGAGTTTAAAACTACCAGCCAAACACTAAAACCACTATAATTATTTTACCACATAATTTATATTTAGGAAATATTAGCAAGGATGTAAAGCATTAGCCCATTTAAACAATTAGTCCATGATTTGAGCTATGAAAAAAGAGATCAGCATGTCTAACAATTCATCTAACATTTTGCTACATGGAAATGTGAGGTTAAAATGCAACAATGTTAATCTATGTAATTTAAAAGCTGTAAACTAATCAGAGGGTGCCCATTACCCTCATAAGATAGTCTGTTTCAAGCATAATGGATTTTGTGGGAAACTTTAAATATTAAAATGCTCCTTCCCACAATGCTCCCACTATGCTACTTAAATGTCTAGAGGTTCACAGCACTCTAGAAACTATCACAACTGGTTTTTAACCAAGCTGCCATAAGCATCCAAAACATATTCTATTGCCTTTTTACATAGACAGTTATCCCAGAAATAATTTTTAAAGCATGAACCACATGAAAATTTAGGATGATCTTCTAAAATTAGATTGCTACAAAACAGTCTTAATTCTTCAAGTATTGAAAGCCATTCCTCTATATCTTCCCCATGGGCTAAAATCCTTAAACTACCCTACAAAACAACGCTAAACCTCAGGGAGTAATAAGATAACTTCACATTAGTGGAGAACAATTCCCCACTCCAAAAGAAATGTGCCCCAATTTGACAACTCTGTCTACTAATGTATTTCCTTAAGATCCCTCAACATCTAATTTAAAACTATTAGAAGTACTAGAAACATAACATGAGAATTCAAAGGGAAAGAAAACACTATCTAATACTTGGCCATAAGACCGTCAGTCACCAATTATTAGCTAACCAAAGATGAAAAGGGCCAAGCTGGTCTTTAATAACTAAATGATTTTGCAAATATAAGAACCTTAAAGATATCAAACTCAAAAGTTAAAATGTTGTGCCAGTGGTTCAGATTAATCCACTGCCTTGGACATTAAGACACCTGTCATTATCTTCATTGCCTTTGAATGTTTAAATACCCAAGGAAAAGTACTTGCAGAGATTATTTATTGGGAGCCTACTATAGATCAAGCACTGTACAAGGCACTGGGGATACAGCAGCAAATAACACAGACCAAAATCATTGCTCAAATAATGGTCCAAAATTTTGATGGTTGACAAATCTCAACAAAATTAAAGACACCTCGCACCACAGAGTAAATGAATGAACCCTTACTGCCCTCTACTGTCACACCTTCAAACTGCAGTACATCCCACTTAAGGTCTCAGAATCAACAATGATTTCCTACTAAACTTAAGAAGCTAAAAAGAGTCTTTAGAAGGTATTTATATTTTTTTTTAATTTTTAAAAATGGCATTTTGTTATCAGCGATGCACAATCCTTGAAAGAATAGCTGACCACTAGATGTCATGAATGCGCCATAATACTCTAAAATAGTGTCCAGGGCGCAAGTCCTTGCAAATATGTAGCATACAACCATGGGCACTCACTCCCTTAAGCTCTCTGGGCCTGAGATTTTTCATCTGTGAAATATGGGTGCAGCCTAACACTCTGTTTCTCATGAGTTCAAGTCTTATATCTCACAGTTTGTAAATACTTGGATAAGACACATACTACAAACAGCATATGTTCACTTAAGAACACAGTATTGATTTTTCTCACAGTAACTCTATTCTATTTAACAGATAATTCTAATGGTAGATCAGAAAACAGCATAAACACAGCATAATTTTACATCAGCACCATATTTGTTTTTTGTTTTTTGTTTTTGAGTTGGAGTCTCACTCTGTCGCCCAGACTGGAATGCAGTGGCCGCTCCCGGACACCGCAGCCTCGACCTGCTGGGCTCCGGCGATCCTTCCGCCTCAGCCTTCCAAGTAGCCAGAACTACAGGCGTGTGCTACCACGCCCGGCTGATTTTTTGATTTATTGTAAAGATGAAGTCTTGCTGCCCAGGCGGGTCTCGAACCCGCGGGCTCAGGCAATCCACTCACCTCAGCCTCCCAAAGGCACGGGATTACAGGCTGAGCCACCGAGCCCAGCCAGCACCATATTTGACAAAGTCATGCTATCCTAAGATACAAGCCAGGAAAAGGTAGGCTGATTTTTCAGTTTAGCAGATTAATAATACACTAGAAAAAAAGGAATCCAAAACACACAGAACAAAAAAGTCTTAAGAACCTGGACGTTAAAACACTAGAAGGAAGAAAGTCAGAACTATAGTCTCAGCAGAGTGCTAATCAAAAATTTTAATTCACAATTTGATAAGAGACCTCATCAAATATGTCAGCTAGAAAAAGAATTTGGTGGCCGGGCTCAGTGGCTCAGCCTGTAATCCCAGCACTTTGGGAGACCGAGGCGAGTGGATGGCCTGCGCCCGCAGGTTCTAGACCAGCCCAGGCCACTTGGCGAGACCTTGTCTCTATAATAAATCAAAAATTAGCCAGGCGTGGTAGTGCGCACCTATAGTTCTGGCTACTTGGAAGGCTGAGGTGGAAGGATCGCCTCAGCCCAGGGAGTCAACACTGGGGTGGTCGTGAGCATGCCACAGCACTCCAGCCTGGGTGACAGAGTAAAACTCCAACTCAAAAAAAAGAAAAAGTATTTGGTGAGCTTGCCACACCAAACCCAAACAGGTAAAACGTAAAGGGATAAATATAATTATTTCTATATAATTTCTACATACTTCTATATATTACTGGGAAGAACTAGCTTGGCAAAAATACATCTGAGAATTAGCTTACTTGACTAGGAACTCAAAAATAAACCATGACAACAACAGCCAGTATTATTATAAGCTCACCTTGTACCAGGTACTATACAAAAGCCTTTACAACAATTCTCAGTCTTTACAGCAACCTTAACACAGGCACTGTTATTAACACCATTTTATTGATTAGGTAACTGAGGCTCTGAAGTTTATTAAATAGTTCCAAAAGCAACACAACTGGTATATGGCAGAACCAGGGTTCAAATTCAAATCCTTCTAACTTAAAAGATCATATTATTGTTACATACTGAGACTTCATAAAGATATTAAATGTATGAATTATGGGAGGTCATAGTGAAGCTACACTGCCCCTTCATACATCAATCAATATTTAACCAGAATTTCTCAGTGTAAACCACTGCACTAGGAGAATATATAAAAATAAACCTGACTTCTACTTTCAGGAAGATGGAATATACATACTTTTCACTATTCCTCAAAACAAGAACAAACTAAAACCCTGACATTATATTAAAACAAACAAAAGAAAGTCCTGCAAGGTGAAGAGAAGAAGGAAGACTGACTAAGGAACTCAGAACCTAAGGAAAACACTATGGCACTGGGGGGGCAGAACATCAATCCAGACTCCTATGTCCAGCAGAAATATCCTTCAAGAATGAAGAGAAAACCAAAGCAGTCTCAAATTAAGGAAACCAAGAGAGTCTGTGGCCAGCAGACCCACTCCAAAAGAATGGCTGAAGAAAGTTCTCTAAACAGAAAGGAAATGACCAAAGAAGGAGCCTACAATGGAATCTAGGAAAGAAGGAAGAACAGTGTAAGTAACAATATAGATATGTATTAGTAGGCATTCCTTCTCCAGCTTTTATAAAAACATTTACTGGTTGAAGCAAAAATTATAACTCTGTCTGATGTAGTTCTAAATGTATGTAGAGAAAACATTGAAGACAATTATATTATAAATGGGGGAGGGTCAAGGGATGAAAAGGAAGTAAATGGTTTATAAAATACATTTGAGTTGGTAAAATGAAGACATCAATAGACTATGATAAATACTGTATAAATAATGTAATGTCTTGAATCGTCACTATAAAATTTCTACAAAGAGATTCACTCAAAAGCACTCAGATAAATCAAAATGAAATTCTAAAAAGTATCCAAGTAACACCCAAAGGCAGGGGAAAAAAAAGAGAGAAAAATGATAAAATAGAAAGAAACAGAGAACAAAAAATAAAATGACAGACTTAAGTCGTGACATGTCAATAATTATACTAAGCATAAATGATCTAAATACACCAATCAAAAGACAGCTGATGGAAGAACATATTTAAAAATATGGCCCAACTATATGCTGAAACTCATCTCAAATATTATAATATGGGTAGGCTGAAAGTAAAGAGGTAGAAATAAATACATCAGGCAAATAATCAAAGGGAAATTGGAGTGGCTATATTAATATCAAATAAAGTAGACTTCAGAATAGATAAAATTACCAGGGACATTATATAATGATAAAAAGATCAATCTATCAAGATATGCGATCCTAAATGTGTACGCAGCAAACAACAGAGCTGCAAAATATGTGAACAAAAACTGAAAGAAGGGTCAGGCAGTAGCTCACATTTGTAATTCCAGCACTATGGGAGGCTGAGGTGGGCAGATGGCTTGAGCCCAGGAGTTTGAGACCAATCTGGGCAAAATAGCAAAACCTCGTCTCTACAAAAAATAAAAAAATTAGCCAGGTATGGTGGCACGCACCTGTAGTTCCAGCTACTCAGGAGGCTAAGACAGAGGGACTGACTGAACCCTGGAGGTCTGAGGCTATTGTAAGCCATGATCATCATGACTATACCACTGTGCTCCAGCCTGGCAACAGAGTAAGACCCCGACTCGGAAGGAAAAAAAAAACTGAATGGAAGAACTTGAAAGGACACACAGAGAAATCCCAAGACTTCAACATGCATCTCTCAACAATGGGTTGACAACTAAACAGAAAATCAGCACGTATATTAATGAACTCAACAACATCATCACTCAACAGGATTTAATGACATCTTTTTCTAAACGCAAAATAAACTTAAAGCAAGAAGAAGAAAATAATAAAGAACAGAAATCAATGAAACTGAAAACAAACAGAAAAATCACTAAGTCAAAGGGCTGATTCTTTGGAAAGATCAGCAAAAGTGACAGATCTCTAGCAAGACTGACAATGAGAAAAAGAGAAGACACAAATTACCAATATCAGAAATGAACAGGGAATATTATAATACATATCAAAAGAATAAGGGAATACAATAAACAACTCTATATACATAAATTTGACCACTTAGATGAAACACAAACTATTCTAATTCTGTCAATATGAAGTGGATAATTTAAATAGCTCTATAACTATTAAAGAAATTGAATTTGTAGTTTTTAAACTCCTGAAAAAGAAATCTACAGGTCCATTAGCCAGGTGTGGTGCCATCTACTGGGAAGACTGAGGCGGAAGGATCACCTGAGCCAGAAAGATCACCTGAGCCCAGCAGGTCGAAGCTGCAGTGACCATGAGTGTGCCACTGCACTCTAGTCTGGGTGACAGAGTGACTCTGATTCAAAAAATCTCCAGGTCCATAGGTTTCATTGGAAAATATATAAAGAAGAAAAACACCAATCTACACTATCCCTTTCATAAAACCAAAGAGGAGGGAACACTTCCCAACTCATTTTATGAGACTAGGACTATATTACCCTGATACAAAAATCAGACAAATATGGTAGGAAAAAAAAGCAAACCAATATCCTTCCTGAATATAGATACAAAAATCCTTAACAAATTATTGGCCAGTAAAAATCAGAAATATATAAAAGGAATTATACACCATAACAAATTGGGTGAGTTCCAAAGATGCAAGGCTCATTCAAATACTTGTATTTGAAAATCAGTCAATGTAATCCACATAAACAAGCTATTATTTTGTACAACTAAATATAATTCTACAATTATCTTAAAATAAAAATTTTAATTAAAAAAAAGAAAGAAACTGTCCCCAGAAAGCACTTTTTAAAAATATGTCGACTACAGTGGTTTTCACCTAAAGCCTCAGAAGTATCTAAAGAGTTCATTAAAAAAGTAAATTCCTCAGGCCCACCTCAGATATGGGTCAAACAGGATTAGTTTTGCAAGGTTCTCTGTGACTCTAACAATTAGCCAAGTGTGGGAACCACAAGGCTAGAAAGTAAAAAGCAACAAAAAAAGGGTCATAAGGGAGATGCCAGAACAAAAGGTCTTACTGCACTGAGAGATGAGGGAAGGAGCTCTTGAGGATGACAAGGACCAAGAGTCAGATCTGCAGAGGGAGCATTCCAAGCAGAAAGGCCAATGTATGCAAAACAGGGGGCCAGAGAAAGAGAAGGGTCAGGAATCACCACATCTTCATGGGTGGTCTCAGAAGCTCATTCATTTTTCTCTACAATACTTGTTAACACATATCACACAATGTGGCCTATTTGTTATTTACTGCCTCCCTTTATTACAATGAAGCCCCATAGGGTAATGATTTTGTCTATTTACCACTGCTTCAGCCCAGGTCTAAGGCGGTACAGCGGTACCTGACAAATGGCAGGCACTCAGTAAATATTTGTAAAATGAGTCAGCGGATGAATAAATAACAGAAAAAAAGAGAAGAAGAAAACTGGAGAAGTAGGCTGGTGCCAAAGCAATAATAAGAAAAAATTACTAGGCCGATGGTGGTGGCTCACATCTATAATCCCAGCACTCTGAGAGGCCGAAGCAGGAGGATTGTTTGAGCCAGGAGTTCGAAACCAGCCTGAGCAACATAGTGAGACCTTGTCTCTACAAAAAAATCAAAAAAATTAGTCAGGCATGGTGGCACATGTTTGTAGTCCTAGATACTTGGGAGGCTGAGGTAGGAGGACTGCCTGAGCCCAGGAGTTTGAGGCTGTAGTGAGCTGTGATCGTGCCACTGCACTCTAGCCTGAGTAACAGAATGAGACCCTGACTCAAAGAAAAAAAAAAATTACTGCTTTCAACTGGTTAAAAAGCTTGGCCTTAATTGGAGCCTTAAGAAGATTTAATGGCAAGTGTATAGAAGCCCCTAAGTACCCACAGAAGATTGGTTTTACAACTCACCCATGGATACCCACATTTGTAGATGCTCAAGTCTCTTATATAAAATGAAGTAGTTTTTGCATACAATCTATACGCATCCTCCTATATACTGTAAATCATTTCTACATTACTTATAATACCTAATACTATGTAAATACTATGTAAACAGTTGTTACACTGTATTACTGAGAAGAAAATGACAAGAAAAAAGTCTGTACATGTTCAGTACAAACACCACCATTCTTTTTTTTTTTTTCTAAATATTTTCAATCCATGGTTGGTTGAATCCACAGATGTGGAACTCATGGATATGAAGGATTGACTGTATACATATATTGGATCCCCAGGAGATCAATTAAATTGTACCATATGCCCTAAAACTCTTTTAAAGCTCCATTACTTTAAGTGACTATTCTATGTGCCATGTACCATGCTAGGTGCTGTATATACATTTGCTTTATTCTCCACTACCCCCCAGACATAAAAGGGATCAGTGACTTACCCAGAGTCCCTCAGCTGGGAAAGTGTGGCGCCAGGATTATTCCAGATCTGCCTAACTTTAAAACAGTTTTCTAGTTCCATTTTAATAACAGTGCCAAGTTTTTACTCACAAAGATCATTACTAACATTTATTTCATAAACTTCAGTATAAAATACTCTTCCCAAAGAATTGTATGAATAGATGGAGATTTTCTCAATAATTTATGAAAAGTCAAGTACCTTAGTTGATGTCTGGTCATATTGTGCTGTTGTTCTCACTAGTTCATCCCTACTTTTGTTCAAAACTTTCTCTTTTTCTATTAATTCCACTTTTGCTTTCTCCAGTTGGAGTTGAAGTTCTTGAAATTTATTTACTTGGCCTTTCATTTCTTTTTCTTGTCCTTGCATACGTAGTTCCAACTCATTAATCTTGCTTCTTAGCTCTTAAACCACAAACAAAAACCATACTCCATATATATGTTTCACAAAATGTTCACAAATTATCATTTGTTTTACTCTAAACAATTTACATTAAACACCAAAGCTACTTTAATTCTTTAATTGGATTTAATTTCAGTGGTTAGTTTCTATTATCATTTGTATTCAAATACTCTATAGAAAACAGGATAAACAGATTTTCTTATGTTTTCAAAAAGAAACATGCAAGAAAAAGCTTTTCTAAAATCATAAATACTTTCTTACTGAGGCTGCGAGAAGTACATCACATATGACACCCTTTGTTAAAATTACTACTTGGTTTTAAACAATGGCAAACTAATATATGTTTTGTGCTCATATCAATGCAAATTCATGCTAAGCAGTGAAAAGTTTACCCTCCTCTATTCTCTGGTAGTTTTACCTCCATTAAAGATCAAGACAGTGTGAACCTCTTATACTGCCAAAATTAACAATGATTTTTTTCCACTTTTTTCCCACATACACACAACACTGGTTCCAATAGCATTGGCTATGTGACAGTTCTCACCAGTGAACACTGACGGTGATTTTCAATATATCACAGCACTGGAAATTATCATATTCTACAGACTAGATTCCAAAACGCCACCTGGTACCCTTGGCCGTCAGCTGCAGCGTGGCACAGCAGCCAAGGTTACAGGTTTGCTCCCATATGGACAACCTGGCAGTGAAGAGCAATGCTGTTCTGCAGACACATGCACAACCTCTGGCCAAAACTGGCCAGACCACAAACTGGTTCTGTGGGCCACAGAGGAGTCAGTTGAGAAGCATGGGAGTGTAAGCTGTAACCAACCAACTCACCCTGTTTCTGGAAAGACAAGTCAAAGCCTCTCAACCTACTTTTATAAGCTTCAGAGCACTAGCTTTTCAATACAAACAAAAGTACATTCCAAAACTGTGATGCCTTTTATCATTATCAAAAAGACAGTATTTCACATAACCAATCTGGGATGCTAATCACCGATGTGTCTAACAAAACACATAAGCACTTTCCAGGGCTAAAAGGACCTGGAAGCACATCTGAAATTATCTCAAGAAAAGTTAATCTAAACTTAACTTAGATCAATAAGTTACCTTGATTCTGTGCTTTTAATTGATCCAAAAGATGAGAACTGCTAGGATTATCAAGGAAACTGCTATTAGCATCTCTTTTCCCTGTTTGCAAAGCTGATCGACTCGGAGTCACCTCTTGTTCCCCAGAAAAGTGAGATGCAGGGAAATCTCTCCTAATTGGAGTTTTTTGATAATTAGATGACAGACGACTTGGGGTCTTCTCTTGCTGCCATGAGAACACAGATGATGAAGCCTGATGTCGAGCAATGTCCCGGTGATTCATAGTGGTTTGGGGAATAGTCTGGCTTGCTTTCTGTAAAAACAGAAACTCTTCAGAGCTCTTTGGAAATCTCAATATTCAAGGCTATTTATTTTCAGATAGAACATAAAGCCATGATACTAAAAAGTTAACACTTGCACTGCATACCAACAAAGAACGTTCATCAAGTCAAGGGAGTCACAGGTCCCAACACCCAGTAATGGAATGTGCAAAAGGTCAGGCTTTTCAGCACTGAGGGCATAAGCCACTACCATCTGAGGCCCAAGTTAAAACAGGCTAAGTCTTAGTATTTATTCTACATCCCTCTTATAATCCATTAAGCCTATATAAATATGCACTGACATTTTGAATTCCAAAATTGGCTCTCCTTTGCCTGTCCTTGGTCACCTCCCCCTGCAGCTTTGCACAAAGAGAATCAAAATTAGACTTTAAAGAACTCTTTAAAAAATCTCACTTTCCACCATACCACTCTTCCCCAAAAAAGGTCATATATGATGTTTTATATTACATAATTACATCTGTGGACCATCTACTGCTTTGCACTGTTCTGTTTTCTCTGCCTCCAGTCTGACAAATACAAACATTTGGCTTTAGATACAGCATTAAATTTTTTATAGCAAGCACTTTTCTTGCCATAGGAAGAGGTTTAATGTTTACAGAGACTCACATTCTCCATAAAATAACCCTGAGAATCAACTTCAGGGGCAGAATTAGTACCAGAGACTGAAATGGATGACAAAGCACATGATATTTCTAGTAAAAACCAGAGATTTTGTATTTAATTTTTATTCATCTTGATAACCAATGTCTTTGCTACATATCAGAATCCTGGTGATCTTAAAACAAGAGTTAAAGACATGAAAATAAAAAGTGTCAAAGTTTTTAAAAATAAGTACATTTTTATCCTCAATATTTAAAGTACCTACTTATAATCTTAGCCTTAAACTGTGTGCTAAAGGATGCCATCTCACCAAGATTCTATGTTTAGTGGGAAGACACCAATAAGTGCCACAGTGGATTTTTTTTCAGCAAATAAGATATGAACATAAATGGTAGATTCAACAGATACCAGTTATATTCGAGGTAAGTCTCTGAACTAGAAGCAGGGGGTTTTGTTTATTTTGTTGACATTAAACAAATCTCTTCACCCACCTCTCTCTACCTGTTTACCCATACCAAAGTGGACTTCAAACCCCTAGTCAGCAGTTTATTTTTAAAAATTGGCTGGGCTTGGTGGCTCAGCTCATAATCCCAGCACTTTGGGAGGCCGAGGCGAGTGGAATGCTTGAGCCCGCGGGTTCGAGACCCACCCGGGCAACTTGGCAAGACCTCGTCTCTACAATAAATCAAGAATTAGCCGGGCGTGGTAGCGCACGCCTGTAGTTCCGGCTGCTTGGAAGGCTGAGGCAGAAGGATCACTGGAGCCCAGCAGGTCGAGGCTGTGGTGGCCGGGAGCATGCAGTGGCGGGGAGCATGTTACGGCACTCCAGTCTGGACAACAGAGTGAGACTCCGACTCAAAAAAAAAAAAAAACAAAAAAAACTGAATCCTATTGATAATGTTCTTTTCTGAAATAAACATTTCACAAAAAGTGATCCTCAAACCCCATGTCCCTGGTTGTAATTATCATATTCCAACAAAAGGGCTATATAGGAAAAATTGCTTCCATGTGACAAAGTCAGCCAGTGGGCATTGGGAATAATTCTCTGATCCTAACCACCCAAACATGCCATTTATCACTAGATCTTAATAAGGAAATAATTATAGCTATGATTTCTGTAGAATACCACAAACATTTAATATGTGGGGATAAACAAACCACCCTACTCACTCCTACCTGTTTTTAAAACTAAAAAGTAAGCTGGGCTCGGTGGCTCAGCCTGTAATCCGGAGCCTTGGGAGGCTGAGGTGAGTGGATTGCCTGAGCCCGTGGGTTCAAGACCTGCCTGGGCAACTTGGCAAGACCTCATCACTACAATAAATAAATAAAAAAATTAGCTGGGCGTGGTAGCGCGCGCTTGTGGTTCCAGCTACTCGGAAGGCTGAGGCGAAAGGATCGCAGGAGCCCAGCAGGTTGAGGCTGCGGTGTCTGGGAGCAGCCACTGCACTCCAGTCTGGGCGACAGAGTGAGACTCCAACTCAAAAAATAAAAAATAAAAATAAAAAGTACAAAGAACTGAATACCACATGTTCTCACGGACAAGTGGGACCTGAACATTAATCATATTAGCACGAGGGAAGGATTGGCAGTCATTGGGCACTGCCTGGGGAAGGAGGGAGATGGGGGAGGCATGTAAACGCACAAAAGGTACCTAGTCCTAAACCAGGGGGAGCGAGGGCCAGTTGGAGGCCCAAACTTCATCTGTATGCAGCCTCCTTGTGTAATTAATCCTTACTTGTACCCCACATCTCTATAAAAAGAATTTTAAAAGAAAACTAAAAAGTAATCACCCCCAATGAGCCCGGAACCTTTTCTTGTATAAGATGTCAGCTTTACGTAAAACAGAGTTTTCTCTAACCATGTTCTACCCTATATCAAAGTAGTTCTATAACTACGTACTTTATGATAGGGCACATAATTAACTTACTTTAGCCTGCAAGGCTTTTACCTCTGCCTCTAATCTTTTTCGTTCTTCAACTTCTTTATTATATTTTTCTTTTAGATCTTCATACTTGGAACCTAAAAATAGACAATGAAATACAATGTTATTTCGATTGCTGATATCATGAAGGAATTCACAGATCAACAATAATTATGATAGTCTAGAAATAAGTATCTCAGTACACTAAGTAAAAAGAATACTTTGTTAGGGCAATTAATCAAAATATTGATCAAATTATTCAAATATCAAAATACGTGGAAACATAGGTCTTCTGAAACTGAATTTCTTTTAAAACACACCATGGAAGGCTAAAGTGAAAAGCTTAAAGGCTTAAAACCCATGGCTCACACAATGCAACAGATACGCAAAGAGATATACAACAAGTAGATACAGTTTTTAAACACTCAAAAGTATAATTCAAAGCTGAATTAGTTCTCTTCTTTCACAGAATTAAAATTTCAATCTAAGTAAAAACTGTTTATACCAAGGAAAAAAATCTTTACCGCTATAGTATTGACTTGGTGTTAGTGGAGTTGTAAAAATTTTTTGTGGTGTAATGCATGGATTCAGAGAGACATCTGCAGACTGTGCAGTTTGTTGGCTTCTTTCAAGTTCAGATTTACACCTGTTAGAAAAGGACCCAAGAGGCAGACAAATCAGTTAAAGCAAAGGCTACAGAATACCAATGCCATACATTCTCAGAGAATAATAAACTTACAAAGAAACTCATCCTCTATAAATTCTTAACCATTTCATTTATCCAACAGACATTAAATAAGACCTAATTTATATGGCAGACAGAAACACAGTCCCCCATCTTCAAAGGAATTCAGTATAGTTAGACAAAAAGAAATGTAACCAATAATGACAACGTTGTAAAAGTTATAATGAACGTCTGTAATAACTGCTACAGCAACAAAGAAGAGTTGGAGGGTTGGGAATATATTCCAAGCAAATTTTATATTCTAAGCCAAAGAAAGACAAAGGGACAGAAAAGAATTCAAAATTTCAGAAACATGGGAGAAAAGTGATATCATAGAAGCATGGGTTCAAATCATGAGAATGGATAGCTTTACTTAGGATATTTAATCATTTCAAAAACAGGCATGACCTGTAATCCCAGCACTTTGGGAGGCCAAGGTGAGGATATTGCCTGAGCCCACCGGGTCAAGAACAGCCTGGGCAACTTGGCAAGACCTCATCTCTACAATAAATCAAAAAATTAGTCAGTCATGGCAGCAAGCGCATGTAGTTACAGCTACTTGGAAGGCTGAAGCAGAAAGATCACCTGAGCCCAGCAGGTCGACGCAAAGGTGGCTGTGAGCACGCCACTGCACTCCAGCCTGGGCGACAGAGTGAGACTCCAACTCAAAAAAAAAAAAAGCAGCCTTGATATACAGATCACACAATATATGACATTTTATAAAACATAGATGTAAAAATTACATTATTAAAATGTATCTAGAATAGATATGGGAGGAAAGTTACAAGAAATGGGGAATGTTTGGATTGCCTGAGCCCGCGGGTTTGAGACCCGCCTGCACAACTTGGCAAGACCTCATCTCTACAATAAATCAAAAATTAGCCGGGCGTGGTAGTGCACGCCTGTAGTTTCAGCTACTTGGAAGACTGAAGCAGAAGGATCACCGGAGCCCAGCAGGTCGAGGCTGCGGTGGCCGGGAGCGGCCACTGCACTCCAGTCTGGGTAACAGAGTGAGACTCCAACTCAAAAAAAAAAAAAAAAGAAAAGAAATGGGGAATGTAAGCTTCATATTATATCTATGTTCAGAATATCCTAGCGTGCAAGTTCTGAACACCATTCAAAATGTAACAATCCTCACTAAAAGAGGGCTCAATTCTTCCAAGTTTCTGATGTCTCTGATTTCAGCTTAACACAAGAAATAAAATCAATACCCTATGAGAATGACTGATGGTATACACCAAAGAGACTAGTGCACCAGTCACTTTGCCATAAGCATATTACTCAGAGCAGGGAGTAAAGAGAGGAACTCCATGCCCTTAGTTGTACCAGCTTCTAATTCAATCTGCAAAGGAAGAGATAATGATTTTTTTTTTTTTTGAGTTGGAGTCTTATTCCGTCACCCAGACTAGAGTGCAGTAACACGCTCACGGCCACCCCAGCATTGACCCGCTGGGCTCTGGAGATCCTTCTCAGCCTTCCAAGTAGCCAGAACTACAGGTACATGCTACCACACCCAGCTAATTTTTATTTATTTATTGTAAAGACAAGGTCGCCAAGTTGCCTGGGCTGGTCTCGAAACCGCAGGGTCAGGCAATCCTCTCACTTCAGCCTCCCAAAGTGCTGGGCTTACAGGCTTAAGCCACCACGCCTGGCCAGGAAGAGATAATGTATGAGCTAAAAATAATGACTACTCAACAAATCAAATCATCACATTCAAGCTTATAGGTAACACCAATGTCCAATAGAAATGTTCTGTTAGTATTAGAAAAGCAACAAGAAATAAATAAAATTAACTTATTTTACTTGACTAGCTAGTTTCAAGATCATTTTGAGTTGTAATCAATACAAAAAGTATTCATGTAACATTTTATCTTTTTTGTACTAAATATTCAGAATCAGGAATGCATTGTGTACTTATAGTTCATCTCAATTTGTACCAGTCACATTTCAAGTGCTCAATAGCCACATATAGCCAGTGGCTACTATATTGGCCAGTATAGATCTATAGACTACCCAAAAGTGTAACAAACTTGGTGTTTCTAGAGATGAATTTTGAAGAACCTTGCAAAACCAATGTTTCTTTTTTTTAAAATAAGAGACAGAGTGTCACCCTGCCATCCAGGGTGGAGTACAGTGGCACAATCATAGATTACTATAGCCTCTAAGTCCTGGACTCAAACAGTCCTCCTGTTTCAGTCTCTCAAGTAGCTAGGACAACAGGCACATGCCACCACATCCAGTTAATTCTCTTTTTTTCTTTTGGTAGATAGGGTCGCACTCTGTAGCCAAGGCTGGTCTCAAACTCCTGGCCTCAAGTGATTCTCCTGACTCCCAAAGCACTGGGATTACAAGTATGAGCCACCATGCCCAGCTTTCTTTTCCCTCTTAAATTCACATTTTATCCCCTTTTTTCTCTTTCATTTTAAAAAAAGTTATTTACATTTAAAATTGAACAAAAGTATAGTCTCCTATTATTTTCATAAACCTTTTATTTCTCCTTTCCCCAGAAAGAAAAACACAAACCACTACCACCAAAAAAATAGTGAGAAGCCAAAAGCTACTTTCTACTAGGTTGAACTACAGTAAGTACCCTACATTCAAACGAGTACCATTCCGAGAGCATGTTCGTAAGTCAAATTTGTTAAGTGCAACAAAGTTAGCCTAGGTGCCCAACTAACACAATCAACTATATAGTACTGTACCATATTAGGTTTATAATACTTTTCACATAAATAATACATAAAAAACAAACATAAAAAATAAAGAAAACATTTTTAATCTTACAGTACAGCATATAACAATGTATGCCAGACATGTGAACTAACTTACATGTTTGGAAATGCAAACATACATTCACATCTTTAAAAATTCACAACTTGAAGGGTCATATATAGGGTACTTACTGAATATGAATTGCCGGCATCAGCAGTTTTGAAAAATATTCTAAATGGTTCAATTTAACTTATTTGAGACCTTTTTAAAACCTAGACAGTAGTCACTGATGGAGAAAATAAGTTTCTACACTTTATCTGAAGGCTGCCAGTGAGAACTGAAAAATTACATATCATAGTTTTTGTAGTTTATAGTTCATTACCTCTTATTATCTATCCATATCATAGATAATAAGAATATTTTTAAACCAAATGTGCTATGGGGGTTTCTTAACCCTATGATGATGACAATGACAATAATAATAACTGACAACAAGGATAAATAACACTAACACTTAACAGTTGCTGCATGTCTTACAGAGTCCTGAACACTTTATATCTGCAAGTATTGCCACCAAAAGACACCAAAAGGCAATGAAATTTAAAAACAAATACAAAAGTGCTTCTTCCTAAAATGTTAAAATACAAACATTTCTGCCTAAATTATTAAAACCAATATTTCTAAAACCAGCACCCATAATGTGCTTTCCAAAGAAATATTCCAGCATACTTAGGTGAGCGTCCTATTTCCCTAGCACCTACTTTCCAAAACTATTGTCTGTCTTTCATTCATTCACTCAAAAAACACGTGAAGGCCTACAATTGTCAGGTGCTATAGACAATGATGAAAGAGACAGACAAATTCCCTTTTCTCCTGGAACTTGAGATAGTAAACAATAAATAAGAAAACAAAATACTCAACAAGACAAGTTTACTTATCATTCTAACATGTGCCTTTAAATAGTCACCCTCCTACATGGATAGAAAATAAAATTAGAAAAAGATTTCTGTGTATGTCATCTTCACAAAAAGACAAAAAGAAGTAATTTTTAAATGTCTTAACTTTCAAAAATATTTTTGATACATAGCTAGAATTTAGATTATGTAGCTATGCCAAGGAAAAAATTTTATTGATATCAAGATATTTGTTAACCACAGCCGGGCACAGTGACTCATGCCTATAATCCCAGCACTTTGGGAGGTCGAAGTGGGAGGACTGCTTGAGTTTGAGACCATAAGTTTGAGACCAGCCTAGGCAATACAGCAAGACCACGTTTCTACAAAAAGTCAAAATATCAGTCAGGCATAGTGGCGCACACCCGTAGTCCCAGCCACTTGGGAGGCTGAGCCCAGGAAGTCAAGGCTGTGGTGAGCCATGATCACGCCACTGCACTCCACTCCTGGACAATAGAGTGAGATCCCAACTCAAGAAAAAAAGAAAAGATATTTAATAATTACAAAGAGAAAAACAGAAACTTCAGAGTGGAGGAACCTTTACAAAGTGATCAAGGTTGTTAAGTCAGATTAAATCACGTGCCCTCTGCTATGATGCACTGAGAAAAGCACATCACTTCTTCAGCAGTATTCTTACCAAAAATTAATAACCCCAAACTGACCCAGTGATACTCACCCAAAAATGATGTTGCCCTCCCAAAAGGTATCTGGCAATGTCTAAAGACATGTTTGATGGTCAAAACTTAGGGGGATGCTATTGGTATCCTGTGGTTTTAAGTCAAGAATGCTGCTAAGTACCCTACAACCACAGTCCCCAACCTTTTTGGCATCAGGGACCGGTTTCATGGAAGATAATTCTTCCATGGACTGAGGGGAAGGGTAGAGGTAGGGTGGTGTTTTAGGATGATTCAAGAACATAACATCTATTGTACACTTTGTTTCTATTATTATATTGTAATATATAATGAAATAATTATATTGTTCACCATAAAAAACAAAAAAAGACAAGGATGGAAGCGGTAAATAAAATAATGTGCAGGTCATGCGCTGACTATCAGATTCTGACATAAAGCCTGCTACCAGATGCTATACAATTGAAGCACATCAACTCACTTGCCAGTCACTGATAGGGTTTTGAGTCTACAAGCAATTGATTTATTATGATCTCTGTGCAGTCAAACCTCACTGTTAATGTCAATCTATATTTGCAGCCACTCCCCAGTGGGTCATCATCGCCTCAGCTCCACCTCAGATCCTCAGGCATTAGTCTCATAAGACACAACTCATAACACACAACTTAGATCCTTCACATGCACAGTTCACAATAGGTTTCACACTCCTGTGAGAATCTTATGCCGCTGCTGACCTGAAAAGAGACAGAGGTCAGGCAGTAATACAAGCCAGGGAAGCAGCTGTAAATACAGATGAAGCTTCACTCTGGCCCACTGCTCACCTCCTGCTGTGCCACCCAGTTCCTAACAGGCCATGGACTGGTGTCTGTCCATGGCCCGGAAGCTGGGGACCCCTGCCCTATAACACACAGGTCAGCCCTCTGTGCCAAAAAATAATACAGTCCAAAATGTCTATGGTGCCACTGTTAAGAAACACTGATCTGTATGCTTTAACATCCTTCCATCTTTTCAGTACCACTGTTGAGAGTTTGGGTATTATTTATTACTGAACTCCCCAGTGACCAACACAGTGTCTGGCACATAAAACAGCTTAATAAACATATACTGAATAAATAAACAAATAAGGGAGCAGCCACTTGATTGCATCTGTATAGTACGGAGCCATGCAATGACTAAACCAAACCACTTTATTCCACCGGGGGCAAAATATTGCAATATATAACAACTACACTGATAAAGGAAGAAATAGATACTTCTGATGAACATATACAAATGATATTCACATAAATACCATTCAAAAAATTTACCTTTTAAGTTCCTGTTCCAGCTTTTCTATCTGTTTTTTGCCTGAATTCAGTTGTCCTTCCTGGAAATTCACTTGTGATTCCTTGACTTGAAGTTCATGAGAAATCTTCTGCTTAGTTTTCTCCAGATTTTCACATATTTCCATCAATCTTTGATTCTCCCTTTTTAGGTTTGTGCCTTCAGTTTTTTCATTTTCAACCTAATGTGGACAGTTCAGAAGGAAACAGTTCCCTTATTTCATGAACTACCAAGTAGTATTGTAGATTTGAGTCTAACACTGACTAGTAACTTTCTGAGATACAGTTAAAATAATAAGATGTCAATGCTTTATGAACACAGACATTTTAGATGACCATATTTAAAAGCCTATAGATAGAAAAGTTTTACAAAACCATGCATTACTTTGTCTTTGGTCAGAGCTATACATACCCAGCCTAGAAAAGGAGACTTTTTTATCCTTTCAAAAATGAAAGAATCAAAAACAAACCTCAGCTGGGCTTGGTGGCTCAGCCTGTAATCCAGAGCTTTGGGAGGCTGAGGTGAGTGGATTGCCTGAGCCCGAGGGTTCGAGACCTGCCTGGTCAACTTGGCAAGACCTCATCTCTACAATAAATCAAAAAATTAGCCGGGTGTGGTAGCACGCACCTGTAGTTCCAGCTACTTGGAAGGTTGAGGCGGAAGGATCGCCAGAGCCCAGCACATCGAGGCTGCGGTGGCCAGGAACGTGCCACTGCACTCCAGTCTGGGCAACAGAGTGAGACTCCAACTCAAAATAAATAAGTAAGTAAGTAAGTAAATAAACCCCCAAAATCTCCCTAAACAATTCATTTTCAGGTTTGGCTACTAAAACCAATTATTGTAAGAACCAGAAAATTCTCCCACAAACAAAAACATTTTAGAAGAGTGATTGTATCACTACTTGGTTGGCTAATAGAGAGGTAATTTGTTTTAAAGTATAGTTTAAGTTTTCAGTTATTAGTCCTAAAGAGAAGAGATTTGGGAATACCAAGGTAAAAAGCCCCTCTCAGAAAACCATGTCCACTTACCTGTAAAATGCTCTAATACTGTCCCCAGATTTAGAGTCAGAGACTTTTGGCCCTGTTACCATGCCATGCAAAAGTAACTCCCAATCATGGTCCCAAACAGAAGTTAAAATGGAACTCAGTGGTCCTAAATATTAACAGTCAAGCAGATACGAGGACAGAGGATGGAGGATGGAGAAAATTAGAAGCAATTAAACATGACTCAAAAAAGGAGAAGAAAGGATCACCAACTGGACGTAGCAAAATCATTTTACTCTAAGTTTAAAGACGAAGATGACATAATCCAAAAATGAATACACAGTTTTAAACACCAGAGCTTCAGTCATAATAATGAGTGAACAGTTACAAATCCCAGCACTTGAGGTACCTTCTGTTTTTGCTTCTGCAGTGCAGCCTCGAGCGTGTCAAGCTGAAACTGCCTTTGCTGCTTTTCCTTCTTCAGTTTGTCAAGCTGTCCTTCCAGCTCTTGAATTTTCTGAAGAGCTCTTGTAGGCAGGCCTTCTTTCCATTCTTCTAAAGCCCAGCTCATTTTGCTCTCTCTTCTTTCTTATTCCAACATTTATAAATAGACTGAAAAGAATAACCAGATTGTTGGTCTTACTGTAGTAAAAGGAGACAGTCTCAGAGAGTAATGAGTCTACTTAACCATCCCTGAGAATCAAGTTTCACGACGACATTTCAAAAGAAAAGTATATCTACCTTCTCCATCCTCTGAAAGTCAACTACCAATAATTTGATTATGAAATACATAACATGCTGTTTGGTTTCCTTGGGCTTTCTGTTTTTCATATTTTTTTTTTAGAGATAGGGTCTCACTCTGTGATCAGACTGGAGTGTGATGGTGTGATCATGGCTCTCTGTAATCTCCAACCCCTGGGCTCAAGTGATCCTCCCACCTGTCTCTTGAATAGCTAGGACAATGGGTATGTACGGCCTGGCATGTTTTTCTTTTTTAAGGCAAGGTCTTGCTATGCTGCTCAAGTTGGTCTCAAACTACTGGCCTCAGGCAATATTCCCACCTTCTGCTCCTCCTCAAGTGCTGGGATTATAGGCATGATCCTGTTTTTCTTATTTCTCAGTTTTGACTTCCCATGTGGCTATTTGCTTTCTACTGCTTCTGTTTGTTTTCATTATATAAAACATGAATATTTTGCTATATGGTTTTCAGGCGAAATATGCCTATAAATAAATAAAATGTATGACAAGTTATTTTCCAAATGCTCCTCTTTCACTCATCATTAATTACTACCCATACTTGGCCCCTCTTCCTGTGGGAAACCTTTCTTTTTTTGAGTCAGGGTCCTTGTCACCCAGACTGGAATGCAGTAGTACAATCACAGCTCACCACCTACCTCCTGGCTATCCTTCCACCTCAGCCTCCGGAATAGCTGAGACTACTACAGGCATGCATCACCATGCCTGGCTATTTTTTTTATTTTTTTGTAGAGACGAGGTATCATTATGTTGCCTAGGTTCAAACTCCTGGGATCAAGCGTTCCTCCTCCTCAACCTCCCAAACTGCTGGGATTACAGGCGTGAGTCGCTGCATCCGGTCAATTGGAAAACCTTAACTGATATTCCTGACCCGGTCACAGCTCCCTGTTATAATTTTTCACAGCACAGGTAGTCCATCTTCGTCCAAGGAGTTATTATGTGTTAAATTAATGCATGAATGGATAAAGAGTGAATGCCATATTAGTAGTAGAATCATTCTAGAAGCTGGTAAAGTCAAGCTCCAGACAGACCTGGACCAGGAAAGAGGTATACACTATATAGCCTTAGTAATTCAAGGGAGATTAATCTCAGCTCAGGCAGTTATAAGATGTATGACCTTGGGTAAGTTATTTAACTGCTCTGTGTCTTGGTTTTCTTAGCTGTAAAATGACAAAAATAATAACGTCCTAAAACTGTAGAACAGTATCTCATAGTAAGCTTTCCATACATGTTAGCTATTGTATGAGTTAGTGAAAACATATTTTTATTTACATGTTTCAGCCTATGGTACAAAGAGCGAAGTGGCCTACCTCCTTTGCAGACACATCTTAGGAAATATACATACAGCTGGGAGACAAGTAACAATTGTTCTTTATTTTAGCCTTCAGAACATATATGAAAGAAAAACCATTCATTTTTCAGTTATTTTAGCAAGAGGGTAAGAGTTTGTTTTTTCCTAAATAAGTTCAGTCATTTTAGCATTTTGTTTCAATTGACTTTATCAATGAAACTTTTTATCAAAAAAAGTAATAAACAATTGATTAATGTACTAAGAACAACAAAAAAAGATCTTTAAAAATTAGGAGGGAGAGCCGGGCTCAGTGGCTCAGCCTGTAATCCCGCGCCTCAGGAGGCTGAGGTGAGTGGATTGCCTGAGCCTGCGGGTTTGAGACCCGCTTGGGCAACTTGGCGAGACCTCATCTCTACAATAAATCAAAAAATCAGCCAGGCGTGGTAGCGCATGCCTGTAATTCCGGCTACTCAGAAGGCTGAGGCAGAAGGATAGCCGGAGCACTGCAGGTCGAGGCTGCGCTGGCCAGGAGTGGCCACTGCACTCCAGTCTGAGTGACAGAGTGAGAAAAAAAAAATTAGGAGGGAGAAGCAAAGGTCTTGAACAACAAACAAGTTAGATATCAAAGCCTTGGAAAGCTGTGTTTTGGTGCCATTTTTTCCCTATATATCTCAGTTCTTAGAACATAACATCGTAAATTCCACTCCCATTTGCCACAAAACTCCTGAAAGCAGTCTCATGCTTCTCAACCAACAAAGGACAGTTTACTCTGTCCTGCATTCCAATCTAGCTTGTCTGTTCAGGAGCTCAAGTAAAAGTACCCCAGAGGCACACAACTATAACTGAGCTAAACAGTTAAGTCCGCCACTGAAATCATTACATTAAGATGCCATAGCCAACCAAATATAAAAAGGAGCAATTCTGAAAGATGATGGAAACGAAGGAAATAAACAGAAGAAAGACTGACAAGTTGAATGCTTTTCCATTTCAGTCTAAAATATAGCTCTCTCTCTCGTTCTCTGTATATATAGATGTATATATCCTATATATGCATATATGTATATGCATACATATATATGTATATTATATATGTATATATAATAACATATGTGTGTGTGTGTATATATACACACACACACACAAGTCGGATGCCCATAGAACTGAAGCTTAAGAAATTTACATTTGTACAATTAAATGTACCTGTTGCTTTTTGACCTCTTGTTCCTTATCTCCACTCATGGTTAGAAAGAGACTAAACCCCTCAATAGACCACCTACTACCTGTTGACCAGCAGGATGTAGCTCTTAAGTGAAACATTATGTATTCATATATATAAATTACCAGATCTGAACCAAGTATGATTAGAGCAGACTTTGATGTATTATGGCATCAGCTATCATGACCATCTGTATTGGGCCACTGGGGCAAAAACAAAAAAAGTAAACCTCAAAAGTAAGATATATGGGGCAGAAGGCATGAAGATAATGCGGACTGGGGGTCTGCAGAAAATCTCTGAATGTGAAGGTTCCTGCACGGTCCTTTCCAGAAAATGCTCTATTTTTATATCTTAAATATATGGAGGACCCTCTTCACGCCACCCAACCATTTTCATGTTTTCCATTTGTCAGAATTGCCTATCTCCTCAAAAAAAAAAAAAGAGCTCCCTCCTACTGTGCCACGGCTGGGTCTGAGAATGGACCCATGTCATTTATTTATGGGTTTTCATCTCTTGGCATAGCCTGGTAAACAGGCGCGTGGAAATAAATGTGGATGGCGGGGCGGAGAAAGAAAAGAGGGAAGAGAGAAAAGCTCCCGTAACTTAACAACAGGCACACCAACCGCCGCCCAGATCAAAACCCAAGCTTGCATCTCCTCAATGAAACAAAGAACTGGGGGCCGAAATTCGAGTAGGAGCCACTGGTTCCTGGATTTGGAAGGCTGCTTGGAAATAGCTAGTCATCTCCAATCATTTTACCTTACGGACGAGGAAATTGATCTCTCGAAGTGCCAGTTTGAGACCGAGAAGAGTCTCCGGACATTATTGTGAGCCTAGTTCTACCCGGAGCGCCGACATCCCTAGGAGCCCCATCCCGGGGGGGGGGGGGTTCCTGTCCTGTCAGGTAGGGCGTACGGTACGCGGCCCCCACCGGGCCAGGGTCGTGATCCCAGAGGCATCCCCGCCCAGTACCCGCAGGCAGAAAGCCAGCAACTCCCCCACGCCAGCCGCCGAAGCGGGGACCCAGGCAGGACGCTCACCTTGCTCCCTTGCTACCGGGAAAGAGAAACAACTTCTCAGCGAGTTCGTTCCTGGCGCAGCGTCGGCGGGCTGGAGCCCAGATTCCAATTCAAACCGCCCGCGACCGCCTCCGGTCTTGGGTTCGCCCGCTTCCGGCCTCCGCTAAACTCACCTCTATGCCTATTGGCCACTCTTTGCAGCGGTGGGCCAATCCGCTTCCGCGCGCTCGGACTGCCGTCTCTGATTGGCCCTTTTGGATGGATTTTAAAAACAAGCCCTCCACCGGAGGTGCCCGCGCCAGAGTGAAAGCGCTTTTTTGTTGTTGCGGGGAGACAGACCACGTGCTCTCGCTGTTGCTAGAAGCGTTTTTGGACAGCTGTTTTCCCAAAGCCAGGGAGCCAGCCCGCCGATTAGGAGGGTGTGGTCTATTGCCCACAGCCAGAGGGAGTGTGCTGCCTGCTGAAAACTCAAATACCGCATAGACATATCTACTTTCTTATTAAACATATAATTTAAGACATAAATTAAGCTCCTTCATCAGACTTAAAAATTATTTTTCAGTAAAATCTGTTTTAATTCATCTTTACATCCCTAGTAACTTTGCACATAGTAACTTAAAAATCAAATCAGG